ATGTGCTGTGCCTGTATGTATCAAAAGTCTGGTGCAATAGTCAGACGAATATAGAGCTTGTAGGTCTACGGTAATGTAACAAAGGCGTTCTCAGTAATTGTTATCAAAATATTATTATACAGAAACGGAACAGGATGATTGTGTGTGAGGGTGCGTGTGAAAAAGACAGTCATGAGTTTACACAGCAAATTTGCAGTTAAGTTGCAAGCCACAGCACAACACAACACAGCAAAGCACACCACATCACTACGCTCAAAATCAATTTTCTGTTTCAATCTTTTTTCAGACAACGAAAGCGGACTTATTGACGGGTACATGTTACTTAAAGACAGAAGAAATGGCAAGAGATTCACCCGATTCCACAGGTGAGGACCAGAACAAATTCTACCTCATGTTTGGAACCGCATAAACCAGTCAGTGCAGGTTGTGTGAATAGTGACAGATGTATTTACATTCGGGTCATGCGTGTGGATCAGACCCCACCACTTCTGTACACTGTGAATAGCGCTGTAAGTCAGGTGAAGTTACAGTAACAGTATTCTGAGCCATACACTACCGGACAGGCGGGTTAAGCCACTTGTCTACAGCTGACCACGTCGGTTTTTGTAAATCGTTAGCCACTTATTGGATTCCCCTTAATGGCACTTACTCATGGTCAAGATCGATTCCACGAGCTCGCTGCGTTCGATCATCGCGGGTTTGTGGTCACTCAGGCTCGACGGAGTCCAAACCAAATCTGGAAAATTGGCCCGCTAAGATGGTCGTGAAAACGAAGCCTCGGCTCTGAACGATGTGTGAAAACCAGGCGTGCGCATCCACATGTGGGGAAATCACATTGTATTAGTGTCCAGTGAGACTTCAGGCTGTTACTGCACGTGGCTAGAAAAGTAGCTGTAGTCTGATAGTGAGCGCCAAGTTGTGGAAAATTGGGTGACAGAATAAATACTGGAGAAAGGTGCACTTAAGAAGCTCTTAAGGAAAGACAATTTACAGAAAAAGCTGACACAACAAAGGAAAAAGTGTACCCTATCTGTAAACTACAAAAGAAAATTAGAGCGTAGCAACATTTACACTACATAGTGTTTTGTGCAACATCTTCTCCGTGCATTTCTGTCCTCTCTCTAACCTCTCTTTTTACACACGTGCAGATTTATGTTAGAGCGGATGTGTCTGTTTCGGAGATCGACGGTGAAGCGGGTAAAGGAGCTACACAGTCTCGGTACCGGAGCCTTGGACTTCCTCCTGCGGACGGTGGCTGACCACGAGCCGCTGGCCGGACTACTGCCGGCCGTTCCGCCCAAGATTGACCTGGGCAGGACCATGGCAGACCGGATCGCGCACGTGTACGACAGGATACAACACTGCATGGTCGCCAACATGTCACCCATGCACTGAAAGGGGCACACGGACATCATATGGTAGAATTGACACACAAGAACAAAAACATGACAAGAACACTAAAAATTGGTGTTTTTGAGTATATCTGTATCTGTACTTCTTGAGCTTTGAATTCTGTGTCTGTACTTCTTGAGCTTTGACTTCGTGTAGACTTATATTTGAATCGCATTATCCGTTAACAACTAGCCACCACACAAAAGATGCACTTGGCCATAAACAGTGATATATTGTACCTCTTGAAATACTAGTATAGCATCATGCAAGATAAAAATCAACAATATCCATATGTTCACTGTGATGCCTGGCCATTTTTGTCATATCAGTATCAGACACAGATGGAGACATCTACATCAATGGAACCTCGTAAAAGTTGAGTCAAACATACATCAAGCTGTCCTCTGTTATCCTGTTTGAAAACGCAGTTTGTCCATAAAATTACGATGGAAGCTTGGGCAGGTTTCAGCCGTGCGCGGGTTGTAGATAACCGGGCGTTCAGCACCAAGGACAGTGCTCAGTGGCAGAGATGTGTATCATCGTAAGGCCATGTTGATTTGATTATATGGATGAAATTCTCTGTACGTAACCCCCCAAAACCTATGCGAGCGTGCACGTGGGAATAAAAAAAATTTTGGCAAAAAAAGTTGCCTTCATTCGCACTATGAAATCTACGAGGTCATGAAGGTTGAACACACAGAATGATATATTATTGGCATGGTGAATAATAGACTCTTAATTTTCATTCCTTCACTTTCTTCTTGTCCTTTGGAATGGATTTTGGCATTCTGCGACATGATTATCGTTTTCCAATCTTTTTTTTAATTTACGGCATATATTTGCTCATTTTGCAGCTACTTTGTACAATTTACAGTTCGGTCGAAAACGTGTTTTTTTTGGAAACGGACGAAAATTCATGCGCGCGTGGATGTCATCCATATAATCAAATCAACAAGGCCTAACGGGCAGTGCTGTGGGCTGAGGCGCCGTCACATCGCTCAAACCATCCTTAATCATCCTGGCAAGGCGATATCTAATAGCAACTCTTTGATTTAAGACTAAAGATGACACGATTTGTGACCAACCATAATTGCGACATACTATTTGTCACCAACCGTTGATAACTGTTGATATAGGTCCTTGCAAGGAGCAGTGATAAATGCATTGGTTGCTCTACATTTATGAGTTTCAGAATGATAGAGTTTAGGCGGTGTTTAGAATTCTAATATGATATCCAGACCTTTCTGGATGTACATGTAGACAGAGTGTATGTCACTCAAAGTACCACAGAAAGCACGTGATGCAACAGTAAATAACGGTAAGGTGAACCTACGTACACGTACTGGTGGTGTAGCCAATAATGACTTTTAAATCTTTTAAGCCACTTTCTTTCGCCATAAATATCGTGACTTGACGTGTGAGTTAATCTGCCATCTGTGCCCGGGATGCGCGCGGACTGCTGAGTTGTGGCTCCGCCTGGAGACAGCCGCCTACTTGGCAGGCCGCTCAGCGATGATGACGGCGAGGCGCTCAGAGTCTAAACGGCGCGTTTGTGCCTCACGGAAGGGATGTTGTGAAAGATGTAATGGAAAAATGATCCCGGTAAAGTCGGTTAATCCGGGTAGATCCTTCCCGGCCGGGGCGCGGGGACAGAATGGTCGTCATTAGAGTGATGGAGGAGGCCATCCCCTTCTGACCTCTGACCTCACGGCCATTATCCCGTCCGTACGTACTTACTCAGCCTACCCGCGCGGGCCGTTAAACTTCTGACCCTTCCTTCATCAACTTTCCCGACAGTCTTCTGTTTCAAACAGTCGTGAAGGGGTGAGCTCGGCAGGCTGTTTGACAGGCAGACTTTGGCGCGTTTTTATCCTGACCTGTAAAACACTTCATCTACTTTTCTATTTCAACCTTAATTACGCACGCAGCTTCCCGAAGGCGTAGGTTCGTTTCAGACCATGTTTCCCTCTGGTGATGGGCTGTGCGGAAACAATTTACCACCCATTGCGCTACTCAAGAAATCCGTTCAAGGAAGCATCAGATCTTTAAGTATCAAATTACATGTAGAAATAAAGCTATAAATATGCAGATGACTCTTCTGCATGAGTGCTCCCCAGAGGGGTAATTCTTGATGACTGTAGTATGACGTCTTTCATTTAATCACTGACTCGTTTCATGGAGATTCCTTTCCCTGGGCAGACATGTATACTGCTGCCTACCTTCCGTTTGAGACAGGTGTATCTCGTATATAACGGCCGCACCTGTACTAAATAAAGGTTTGTGAAGCTTGCGTTAGCCTGAACACCTCAGGTCTCCTGTGCTCACACCGACTCCCTTCCCTCTGATCGCGGAGCATACGTTACAACACAATCACCATCTTTAGCAGATTATCTGGAGCACCGTGTACTTAGGGCCGTTCCGAAAGCAAAGCCGGTAGCCTGAGATAAGAGAACGAGCATCCTCGCCGCCCGTGGTAATCATTCTTTACCGCTTTACCAAAGCAGAGCGGCGCGATACGTCACACAGGCGCGCGCAGCGGGCCCGCTTCATAAATGAAGAGCTTTTCGTGTGGAAAAAATGAGAAATCTCCGAAGTGAATCCCCGTGGGGTTTGTGGAAAATCGATGTTCAGCTGGGAGCATGTTATCCCGTGATGGGGAGTATTGATCCGCGGGTTGAACGGGGAAATTGGGGCGGCAGTCGGACACTTACCTCGTGATTGAAAAGCTGCCGTGATGGGGACTGTCAGACAATTGCAATAACTGGCATTTAACAAAGTACGTTCACTTGGTTATGACGGAAACGCTCTCGCCGTAAGAACGACGATTTTCTGGCCACGGTCCAACCTTTTAATACCTTCTGTTTCCAGTGCTAGAGGCAGAGACGCTACGCTACAAGCGAAGATCGTCGATAACTGTTCGGCTGTAAGCGCCTGAAAGGGTGTTTCAAGGAAGGAAATTGGAGATCGGGAGATAACAGATGGAACAAGTTAGACGTAAAAGCAAAGCCGTCTTTACTGGGAAGATTACCGTATTTCTATTATTACTGCTCACTATTCACGACGAGGTTTTCAGGCCGGGTGAATTTCCATCTCAAAGGACAGGCGGGAGGGATGGGACTTAAGTTTTTACCAAGGATTTCAATAGAAAACAACCATAAAGCTACGTACCCAGAACGTGACAATGATTATCAAACATTAGGGAACTCATGTCGCTCGGCTAGGTAGTTTATGGACGGGCCCTATGTGAGCAGTGTTAGCGGGTAAGCCTGGGGACAATGCTGAGTCTACTCATGCTGGCATCGTTCAATTTTGCGTCATTTAATCCGGAGCCTACAGGTAACCCCTCTAGCCTTACGTGCTAAGCGTGTAAAGTCTTTTCCGGAGACCAGTAGTAGTTTACAGGGGATAAACTTTATTCACTTCTTCCTGGACGGCAAAGTGTCGCAAGGTTGGCGCGAGGTTGGAGATCTCCCCCAGCCCTCGTGTCTCGCTAATTGGAGAGGCTTTGGCAATATTACCTCCCATCCCACGAGACTATTTCATCAATATATGATTTTCCTAAACGTCCTGATGGAAAAAAACGCATACCGCGCAAGAACCTCCGCCAATAAACGACCGCGTTACATTAACGGATGATTATGTTTCTGTTTTGCTCGACAGAACTGAGCTGTTGTTTGCTTTAGGGGTATATCATGAGATCCGCCCCGCACAACTTCCCGTGAAAACTAGAGCGCAGGGGACATGTATGTATACACATGCCCGAGACGAGCACACGTGAAGTGTACAGTAGCGCGGTGCCGGGCCGTTACACACACAGGTAGAGCATGAGTGAACAGAACCACGGGCCATGACAGGACGTCAGCGACGATACGGGCAATCGGGAGTCATCAGTGGGAGGTGCGTGTCTGGGACTCTGCGGAACTGGAGCAGTGCCGATGTCATCTGACCTGTATCTGGCACGACAAACCCCGTTATTACTCAGGGACCTGATGTGGGTGATAGCCGTACGTCAGATGGGTACAGGTAGACGGACTCAAGTTGTCGGATTTTCCGCAGTGTGAAGGCAATGTCATCGATGTCAACGATGTGGTTTCTATGGGGCAAGTTTGAGTCGTGTTACTGACTAGAAGTCTGAGGACGGACATTGTAAGGATTGTATGGGTATATCCTGACGAAGACGGATGTGTGCGCAAGAAATGAAGAATTATAGGTTTCTCTCCTGGTCAGCGGTTATCTTGCAACTCCAGCTCTGCCTGCGAGCGGTGGTGCCAACTCTGAGTGCAGAGGCCGACGTGACCGGGCTCACAGAACTGCTCCCCACCGAGTCCACCGGGCTGCGCTACTGCAGCCTCTTCGGGAACCGCGCGCCCAAGCCCGAGCACAAGCTGGTGTCCTGCCCCTGGTTCCGCCTCGACTCCTGCTGTTACCAAGAGGAGGTCGACAGGTCAGTGCAGGATTAATCCAGATGCTTTTAGAAAATATAAAAGGGTGATGTTCTATCAGACACAGCCGTAAATACGTCCAGTAGAGGGAGAGTTATTGGGACTGTGGCGTACTCCCGAGTACGTCCTGACAACAAGGGTGCAGGGGCGGGTCGACTTTTATTATCAATCAGCGAAAAATCACACGGCAGTGCAGGTTAGAGAGTAACACGGCGTATAAATTCTACAGAAGCATTGTAGAAAACCGCCGGAGACTGCGAAACCGTTAATGGCTTTAAAATGCCGATACATAGACCCTAACGGTGCTGCCTCTCAATTTTCAGCTTGAGAATCCATCTTAATGAATATCCTATCAGCCCGATCAGCTGCGGTTTTTGTTCTTCTTCATTCGATCATCGATTTGGGGTGATCTCGCGTGAGGCCATCAATACCATCGTGATACGATCCACGATCCGTGCAGTGTTGATAATGTGAATAAACGGCGAACAAATGCGTAAGGATAGACTCTCTGATTATGAGATATACTCTCCAGGGAGGAGCATCGATTGTTGCAATACGTTTCTGGATAACGTCTTAAGTTATGCCCATAAGTTAAGTTGTGAGATGTTCATTTGAAGGAGATGTAATGCAAATGACGACATTCGGCATTGGATATTCGGCACGTCATACATCTTGTGTACAAACATGTGTATTTAACCACTGCTGTGTTTATCATCCAACGTAAAGGTCACCGTCGGTACTTGGCTTTTTACACGCACGTCTAAACTTTCTTGGTGAGGATGAATCACCTACAAGGAGCACCATTAGAACTCATCAGCTCAGATATCAAACGTTCTCTTTTTATATTCCACCTATTCAGGATAGTACTAGCAATCATTCAGAACGTCTTATACGCTGCCTTTATTTCTGCCAATGGATTCATAAGTAGTTTGTTACCTTGAAATCACTTGAACCGTTTCTGTCTGAACAGAACGATACAACAGGGTGTATGTACAGCTAGACAATGTGTCCTGCTGCCTTGACTTCTTACATGGGGCATCACAACGTAGTGTGTTATATCTGTCCCAGCAGTGTATCTGGCAGCGGAAACTGTTGTTTGTTTCTGCAGGCTGTTCCCGATCGTGACGCCGCCGCGCGGTGCGGACCAGGTGTGCCGGGACCACCTGTACTACCTGAAGTGTTACATCTGCTCGCCGCACCAGCACCTGTTCTACCGCGACGAGACCGTCACCATGTGCGAGGAGTTCTGCGACAGCATCTTCTGGGCGTGCGCCAACGCCACGTTAGAAGGTGAGCGGATCAGCGACCTGTACTCCAACGGGAGGGAGTACTGCCTGGGCCGCAAATTCCGCGTGGAGAAGGAGAGCAGCGGCGCGTGCTACACGGTACCGATCGTACCGGAGGAGCCCGCCAGCTCTGCATACAGTACTCATCACCATCCCGCGGCCGTTAGAATTACTCTTCTGATCACATCATGGACGCTTTTCATTACGGCAAAGCTAACGTTACTGTGATCGTGGGCAGGATTACTAACTCAAGCGAGGCGTAATGGCACAAGCGCAAGCGGTTCAAAAACGCTCCGGTAAATTGGATACTCCAGGGGCGGATTGCATTCGAGGAGGTAATAGATGGACTGCAAAATGAAGCAAACTTCACCAGCAAACGTCATAAAATAGAAATGCGGTAATCTTCCAGGTGCATATAACTCGCTGAAATCGAGTGGGGGACAGAAGGCGTAGGAAAAAAGTCCAAAGTTTTACAAACCGTGGCAAAAGATTACTCTGACTTAAAAAAAATACCATGTAAAGTCAAGATTTTTCAGACATTTTTGCACTTCTGTACGATGCCGTCATAACAGACATGAGCTTAAATAAACAACATAGACTTGTACATGTAGTTTTGTTCGGTGTACTCGTCAGAATGCACTTCAACTTGAATATGTGACATCATAAGCTATACGATTTTTCACACACACACACACACACACACACTACCTTTCTTGGCTCATCGGCTCGAAATGAATAGAGACTTAAGTGTAGTTGATTATTGACTATTTTAAGCCCTTATCGACATAGGCAGAAAAACCTAGCTAGCTGCATTCACTGAGATAAATCGTATCAAAGGAACCACGGGTCAAAGAGACACCTGACCTTCATCTATACCGTACATACCTCGCCTCGGGGCAGCATATCATGAAACATCTCAATCTGATAACATGTTGTTCATTCTTCAGTCAGAGACGAGTCTGTTCCCGGAGAATTTGCCCTGGAGGCCAGCGACCTTCGTTTGTACGTCCCTTGTAACAACTCTGCCCTGTGGCTCAGAAAAAAATCATTGGTCTGATGATGAATACAGATTCTGCAGCGCCCCAAGCTAAAGATAACAATACGATAAATACTCTTGCTAACATTCATTTCAGTTTGTGTAGGGAGATGGGAACATTTTCTGAGAGCTCTACCCATGTAATCAACGTTATCAGAACGGTGGCGGTATCTACTGACGTAATTTGCACAGTAAACCATCAGCAAAGGGAGCGCGTAATGCAACTGCTTTTAGAGACCCGCCATTGCAAACGGTCAGTAAAAGTGCCGTAATGACCAGTGAAGATAAATGTGAAGCACAAGCCAATCCCACGGAGACGGCACGGTGAACTTTATGAAGCTATAGCCAGGGGTGTCTCTCACCAGCAGAGCGGTGTTCAAACACATGACTTAAAGCAGTGGCATTTCAGCCTAACCCGCGGCACGAATAAACATGCATACAGGGGCTCTCAGGTGGGAACGGTGTAAGGTATGAATAAAAGAGGCTTTTAGGCCACATACAGGTAGGTGGCTGGGTCCTGGGAATGCCACTTAGACTTACTTATCATCTGCTGTATCTGTCGGACGTGTGTTTTTATATTCTAGTCACACAACCTAGCAGATAAGGTCTCCTCCATAAAGCAAAGTTCGACTAAGAAGGTCCAACGCACTTCTTTAAGTACCACGCGCAAGGATCAAGATGACCTGTTGACAAAATTTCCACATGTGGAAACACCAAAAGATTGCATATCAAAGAACTCTCAAACAGTGAAATGGCAAACGGTATATGGACTTGCTTATCATGTGCCAATGCTTGAAAGGTGGCTATTTGGCTGCTTAACAGGAAGTATGTTTTATTTACTAGGGCTAACATTCAGCACATACATAAAGGTACGAGGCCACAGAGGACCAAAACGAAAAGTCAAGAACAGAGAAAATAAAAAGAAACACCATGCTATATGTCCTGTTAGTGCAAAGAAAACCCAAAGCTTTCAAGCAGCTTTCTTCAAGCCACTTCAAAAATCTGCCTTATTTGATTGCTTAACAACTAAAAGACAGCTATACTCATTTATGCCACATCTACAAATGGGTATGAAATCCTCTTTAAGGGAATTGTTCATAAATACAACAGCTGCCTGTTTTCAAACCCTTACAAGCTCTTCTATTGAAGCTGCAATATCTGCAAAATGACAATAGACAGTGATGAAATGCTCAATGAATTTTCCTGTAGGTTGAAAATGTGATAATCTATGAGTCCTGACCAGCAGGTGTACAAGCTAAGTCAGTCCATCAATCACAGGCTATGTCTTATAAGCAGCTGGGTCTAACAATCTAATAGCGGTGATGATTGGTTCCTAGCTGACGTTTCACCTGCAATGGTCTGGCAGAACATTTAGATTTTCACATGGGTGGACTGCACATCTTTTTTAAAGAGGCATTATGTAACATTTTTGCACCAAGATTTGAAATCTTTCAATTGAAAGAAATCTTAACGTGATTGTCATTTACTTTCAATTTTCGACATATTTGTGCAATTATTTCACATTTCTTACATTTGTGGTTGTCACTTTAACATCCCACAAGAGGTGCACTGAGTTTGTGGTGCCACCACAAACTACCAGAATGTAAACAAACATGGCCAACAGCTGTGTTTGTAGCTTTTAAACACACTCGTATGGTCTAATATTTTGGCACCACTTCCTGAATGACACTTATTTACAATGGAGTAGGGTTGATTCAACTTACTTTGTAAAGAAATGACCAGGAAATTAACTTTTGGTATCGCCCTAATGTTACAAAATGCAGCTTTAACTGCCAAGGACACCCAAGATCCACATCACATTTTCAAGGCAAACAACCTTGCCCTTCTTCCATAGAAATTGACCACAATTTAAGGCAAAAAGCCTAAGGCTAAAGACATTAGCAAAACTTGCAGGACCAACTGGATTGCAAATGATAGCTACCTTGGCAAGTTTGATTCATCATGTTATGGCAGATTTGTACCTCCATCTATTCAGTTGTGTTGTTCTGCCTCAAGCCATAACCATGGGCCTTCCATTTCCCAAATGCTATGTAGGCTGCTCAGATGGCCACTTGTAAAGTTACGACCATACATAACCCTGGAGATACAGCTGTGATATTTGGAAGGTAATATCTTGTTGAGTATATCATTCTGGTGAAAGGCCCACTAGCACCAGTCATTTCATAAAGAAGAATGATGGCCTTTATATAATGAGGTGTCCACCTCATCTTATCTATCATTTTGGCACATGACAAGGGACATTTTTCAGATAAGTAGACGTGTTCACAAATTTTGCGATACGATAGAAATTGAGACAAGAGTCGAGCCTGGGACTAGGTGAAGGTGTGAATAAAAATTAAAAACATTAAAACTAAAACTATTATTGCACTGATGGTTAACTATCATATGGAACATCCTTTTTGCACTTCAGTTGTTTCAAACCTCTGCTTTTTCCATGGATCATGAAACAGCACCTGGTGAATTACAACGTTCACACAAAAAATATATATCCATGACCACACCTGGTGCTTTCTTCTGAGGCTACAAGTGCCCCTGTTGTGTAATATCTAAATCTGGGAGATCATTCATTATGTTTTCTACATGGCTGAGTTGATAGTAGTAAAAAGATAATAGATGGATTTCCTTTGTACGTTCCTCAAAGATAAAGGTAAGACTAGCTGATAGGTGCTATCTCATCCATAACTTGTGTATCTTTAATGTCTGCTGCCTGTCATAGAAGAATACTGCCGTAGATCCCAGACTCAGGTCCTCCCTGCAGATCCCAGCTTCCTCTGAGGGTGAGATAGAACACTGTCATTTCAGCTGCAGAGTGATGCATGGTGGGATTACTGTGGATCAAGGTCCCCGCTATCGCATTGTTCATAGCTGATGAGGTCGAAATGAGGGACATTTCTCATGATCTACCGTAGCGGCAAAATACAGCCAGCTTTGGCAATCCTATTAAATGAAGGAAAAAAACACTACTGCCATGGCCTGTACCCCTTGGCTTAAAGGTTGCGCCTTTTCTATGGCTTTCTGTATTGTTATTGTACTAAGTTTCCTGTACATGTAAGAAGCCTTCCGTACATTCAGAACTAATATACAATCAGAAAACAGCATATACTGGTAATAAGAAAAATAAGCCAGCCCCCTAAGCCTGCTCAGGAGGTTCCCCTTTTGTATCCAATCATTGACATTAAGGGTTGATCCCACCATGGTGAAAGTCATGCATCTCTTGGCATCTGGGACGCCTTGATGATACTCATTTCTCATATTGATTTACCAGGGCATTGTGTCGAGGGCAACATGAGTCGTTTTCATCTCAGCAGCAATTTGAGCGAGACTGTTCAGCTACTGATCAATACCAGGTGATTTTTTCATACAACCACGCAGAGAAGAATTTTTCTTACATTCCGAACCCCAAAAGTCTCCTAGGAAGTCATGCCTCCATGAGAAAACAAATTATGTTGATTTAGGTGTGATCACAGGAGTGTGGATTCTTTCACAGATGACCTATCAGGCATGATTTCATAAAACGGTCTCTTGCCCTCTATGATGGATGACGTGATGTCAGAAGTAAACTTCCTGAGCAGAAAAATCAATCTTAATGCTTGAATAGCCTCCGTATCAGTAGCATTTGGATAAGAAAATTCCAAAAGATGTTGTCATATTCAACGTATACATAGAGACATATAATATTACCAGACATTCTCTTCTACCTATGCCAAAAGGAATCCCTTGTATGCTATCATACCATTGATTTGAAATTAAATCTAGAAGGCTTCTGTGTTGAATTGGCATTGTCACTGTAATGTAGGAAAAGTACAATGTAGACTCACCCAACTTCCTAACATAGAAGTCATAGGTGTCCTGGTTTCTTATGGTGGAGGCAATATAGGCAACAGGGCTGTTCCTCCTACCAGGGGCAGGGTGTAGAGCCTTCAGGAGTAATGCGACAAAATGCTCCACCAACTCATTGTCAAACACAACATCTGTGGAGGGAAACAGACAGATCAGACAATGCAGTTCTCATCCAAAACATCAGTCTGATCTAAGCCTGACTAAGCTCATAGCGGCCCGACTGACTAATTGGCCCCATAGCAGCAAGAGATTGCATAACACAGGCTACAGTAAAACACACCATAATCTGGATCTATTGCTGCAGCAGCTCTTGTTTCAGTGTACATCACAATACCAGTTGACAGAAATCAATGAAGAGCTAGATTTTTATGATGCTGCTGCTTTCATGTGGAACTTCTTGTCTGATAAAATCAGTATTTAACAGCAAAATGCCCCAGAGCTAAAAAGTAAAAGTCATAGTAGTACTGAAAAGGTCAACCACTTAGCTGAAAGGTTCACATGATGTATATGGATTGAAGACGAAACAATCAAAACTGTGACTGATTTCCTTCCCATGACATCTCTTCTAAATCCCCCCTACTCTCAATATTCTCTTTAATGTGTGCACTAAAACCCTATTGTCTTCTGTGAAGGGATCCGGCACAACATTTCAACAAATCCTGCGCTTCCTCTTCTCAGGTCTGTTGTTCATCAATGTTCAAATGGGCTACATGCACACCGACTGGTTAAGTGCACTTTTTAGAGGGAAGTATGATGGCTTGTCTTGTAACTCTAATCCACAGCTTTGTTTCACCAGGACACAACAAGCCAAGCTTTAAAGTTTGCACAGAGAAAAGTCTAGCATGTACTTTATACCTTTATCATACTAGCACAGCAGGCTGCCCTTTTGGCGTGGTTTAAGGGATCAGTAAGCCACTTAGTAACTGTGCCAGGAATACATCTTTTTACTGCATCTTCAGCAGTTGTGACTTAAGTTCTCTTCTTTAGGACAGTCGTTTGCAGGTACTATACTAAGCCCTTACCAGATGCTATAATGACATCAGGAGCCAGTGACTGGAGCTCTTCCTGTGTGACTGAGGCCCAGTCCAGACTCATCACAGACATTTTGGAACCTATGGAACATCAACCAACCAAACAGTGTGAGACAAAATGTTACTTCGTTGATACAACTTCCATGCTTCTGTTAGAAAGGCCACTGAAGCTTGGAGGTTATATCAACAATACATGAAATTCTCAGGAACTCTACAACTTTTGTTGCCTCAATAACAGTGCTGTTGTTAGTTTGTCATTTCACAATAAGGTTTTTTGCACTACTGGTACCTTCCTGCCCAAATGAAAATTATTGAGTAAGGCAAATATGCCATAGAGGAGTAGAAGGAACAAAATCATCAACACTTATGTTTAGTGTTGGTAAGTAAAGGTTATGCAAGACCCATGCAAAATCATTGCAGTTTAATATGATAAAAGACATACATGTAGAGGAAGAGAAAGCATACCTTGCACAAGTTTGGTTTCCCATGGTTGATTCCCTGTGTACCAACTCACATTCTCCATGTTATCATGATCTGATTCTCCAAACCTAAACACCGAGGTATTAGTACAACTCTGCAGCTCTGTCTCATGCACAGCCTCTTCTGCATGCTCCCGGTAAGTAGACAGATTAGTGTCTGAATTATGTTGACACTTGTTACAAGTTTGCTCCCTCTCATCACCATTACAGTCCCTGTGGCTTGTTCTGTAATTTACCACAACAGCTTCAGTGTTGTTGGTGGCATGCTTGCTGTGATAAGAGCTGCCATGCACGCTCTTCTGTCTAACTGTCGTGCCCGCGGGCTTGCCGTTTACTGAGCCTCCCCCCTCCTCTCGGAGTTTGCAGTTGAGGACCAGGTTTTCCCAGAGGTTGGCCAGGACGTTGGGGTGACAGTCGCTGTAGATGTAGTGGGCGGGGCTGCAGCAGGAGCTGATGACCAGTCCTGTCAGGCCCATGCCACTTCCTAGTTCAAGAACTTTTCTGAGGGAACAGACAATTACAATAGAGCTAGTGAGGGTCAGCTGGACAGAACATTGCACCAACGTCTCAGTTATGGAAGAGATTGGGGTGGAAAGATGGAAACTCCAATACTTGGTTAGAAGATGGAAACTCCAATACTTTTGACATGTCACAAGAGCCCAGGAACATCCCAACACACATCCTGAAAGGAAACCCACATCTGTGAGACCATGTAGGCGATGAGGAGACCACATCAGGGACTGGACGAGCAGGTGTGTGACAGAATTACACCCAGAAGGCAGAGAAGGATGGAGGAGGCTGATGCCAGATGCAACCATAGTCCCCAAACCTCAAGACAAGGAGGGGATAAAGGAAGAAGAAAGTTTTAGAGTTACAGCACTGTTTGTGCATACAACACCAAAATACAACAAAATAGTGTAACGAACATAAAGATTAACACCACACTTACACCCTTTTGAAGGTACTGAACATCGAAACCATAAACTTGATAAAGAATCATACTTCCAGCTCAGGCCAGCTCTTGATTCCTACCGCCTGGTAATTCAGTTTAACATAAGCTATCCCATTGGTGACATGGCAGCCGGTTTGGAACCTGGCGAAAAATATTATTTGGGGAAGCAAACAGTGCTTAATTATCATGATTACATAGCAAACAAAGAAACCATTTTAAACTCTTGCAATCATATGTATGTGATAATTGAGTCCTTTTTTTGCTGATGGCCAACTGCACAGTTTTTATGAAAATGCAAAACAACCATAGCCAGGGTACCATCCCCAGTAGTATATTCGCCAACTCTATAACTGGGTCTGGACTTGAACACATATGAAACGATTGGTGATGACGTCACGTAATGAGCTAGCCCGAGCAGCGGGTCTTCATTTGATTGGCTGACCCTCAGAGGCGACGGCCAATGGCGCGCCTGTATTATTCAAGTGATGTTTGTTGTTTTGTAAACACAGATCTTCGCGCGAGTGTTCCTTTTCTCGGTGCGTTCTGTTTGTGCGAGGTCAACATCAAGCTCCGAGAGCTGAGCGGCTTGTGCGTCAGTCATGTTGATGATCGATCGCGGAAAGTACACTGACTACGGCTATATCAAGCACGCTTTAGCGTTCGGCGTCGGACATGTTGATGATAATAAGATAAGAATAACGATCTATCTTAACGTAGCCGTTCGGACGTTCGAACAGACGCTAACGTCGCCGTTCGGACGTCCGAACGGCCCTTACCTAATATGTACACACCCAAAAAAGGGCTTAGACGAGTAGGACCAATCAGCGCGCTCGTTCAAAATCTGAACGAATATTTAGACTCCAGACGCTACATATGTGTTCAAGTCCAGACCCAGTTATAGAGTTGGCGAATATACTACTGGGGATGGCACCCAGGCTAAAACAACCAACCCACTTTTACACAAAAAAAAAAGAAAAATTGAATACCAGTTTGCTAAACACATTATGAACACAAAGTAGCACACTTTCAACACAGATCACATTCAAAGGTTACTGAGAACACTTTTTCTGGGAGAAGGTGTAACAGCACATACATGTATATGTGCAATAAATTGCATTAAATGGGTCTTAAATATCCAATCAAGCCTCACGTAGTTGTAACCATTCACTTTTAACATGCCAATTTTTCCCTTACACTATTGTCATGAGGTTTGCTGCAATCATTAATAACAGCAAAGTGAAGTGCAAAGCTGGTGATAATTGCTACCCTCCAGGCACAATGCTCGGTCCCTCTGCACGTACAACTGCCAATTACTGGGACAAACAGCAATCATTGGTAATTACATTAATAGGTGCTGCTATACCTTACACGACTCGAACCTTGATAATAAGCATCCTCACACTCTTAACTCATCATGTAAATGTCAAATATAATTTCTCTGTAGTGACACATGGAAAAAACAATAATTATCTTACTTTGTCATAAGTTTGTGAAGTACAAATTAACTAGATTACCAAAGTAGTATTAACATCAACTCTCATAATTCTGCCTTCAACCCAATTGTTACCGAGGCCTTCTCTTGAACACCTGGCTATCTAAAGTGTGCATACATAAGGTATATGGATATCTGAAGTACATACAGAACTAATGCTGCATTTTTTTCAACGTGGTCTTAGTGTACCCAATGGAATTATTGAGAGTTGAGATTATGTACATAGACATGTAGATATGTTTTGCAAAACTCACTTTTGCTCAAAAACGGCTGAGTTATCCACTGCCCATTCAGCAAGGCACAGTCCGGCCTGAGAAAAGGAAGGAAGAAAGATGGGTGCCTTCATGGCGGGGATTTACAGGGATTTGCTTCATTTGGGTCGATATGGAGTCAGCTTTACTTCACATACATCACCCTTCAAGTCTGCTGGAAGGCATATCTTATATAAGAAAGGAGCTGACCCTTATAAATGGAAACAGATAAAGAAGGAAAACCCCAATCTTGAAGAAGATTGCTACATATATAAAGTTTCTGTAAAGGGAAAAGCCATGGGCAAAAATACACTTTACTGAAATGTATGAGGACTATTGCTGCTCTCCATAGATTTTGTGTATGAATCGTTTATTCTAATATCGAGACTTTGTGACAAGGTTTGACAAATGATTTACTAAGTCAATCACTAAATAAATCCAACTTACACTTGTCACAGAAAGGGACAAGTCTTGCTACTTTTACTGGTATAGACACATGTTTTTGAACATGGCTTTGTCCATACCTCGGGAAGATAGTTGGTCAAGATTGCATTTATCGATCAAGATCAAGGTCATGTTAGCTTGAATGCCATCCTTGTCCAGTTCAATGGCCTAAGGAGAGTGACTGCTAGTAACAGAACCCTTTGAAGCTTAGAAAGGGGCAGTATTCAGGATTAAATAAGATCAGCACACCCACCTCCCAAGTTCTTAATCCAGTTGTTCCATGTGAGATGATCTGTGTGGCTTCTCTCAACACCACAGTTTTCCCACAGGGCTGGAAGAAAAGCATTGAAAACTGCATAAACTTGGGGAGGCTCACATTTTGAAATCAAACCCATTCTCAAAATAGATCCAAACTAGCTAAATCATTAGCCTGGGATTTTGTTACCTTAACTTATCCTTAAATTGATATACTGGTATTTGACACTGATTCATGAGAAAAGAGAAAGATTTTTCTTTCTATCCTTTGTAGGTGCTGATTTCCTGGTTGGGCAAGAAAAATGCTTGGTGAGTCTGACATCTAGGCTGCATTTGTATTAGATCATGCATTGGCTTATATCTACTACAATACAAAAACATGTAGTCGTGAAGAATAAGCCCCGTATCCATAGCTGATTTGTGGCACCTACACTCCTGTCAGAAGGCTGCTATAAAATAGTATAGGCTGTCCAAGCCTGAAGCCAGTCACAGGTCTTCAAAGGACTTCTGCACACAATTTTTCAGCTGCCCTATGACAGTCCTTGGCTTCCTATAAATTAGCATATTACTCACTTCTTCACCTTCAAGCCTGAAAAATGCTAGCTTTGCGCAGTGACTACCAACAACCATTGGTAGATATGAGACCTATTTGTTTTGAAGGCCCCTTCACCAGTCACGGAAGTGAAGGGCAAATGGGCTGTCAAGGTGAAACAAATGTTTGGCATGGTGCAAAAACCTAGCAAGCAATGTAACTAATTAACATACAGCAAGCTTTCATCTGTCCTAATAATTCTGAGTTAATCAGAGTCATAGAAAACAACAATGGATGAATAACAACAATGCATCTATATTGTGCCAACCCCAAGGTATGCACAGTTCAGATCTACATCTAGGCTGTCAAAATATGCATTTACAACATGTACATGGACTGGGAGCAATTTTTTCAGGGTAGTGGATATATGTGAGCTGTCAGATAAACAGTAATAGAAGTTAAGTGTGGGAGAAAGAAGCTGGCTTACCAGTGTGTAAGTCTTGTAGCAGCAGGGTGAGGTGGGCTCCAGAGTACTGACTAGCAGACAGGTGTATACCTCATATAGATCATCACACACTTCCTGGCCTGCATCCTCACACTAGAACAGTCAATCACAAATAAGAAAAAAAGCACTTTTCTATTTCAAAAGGCATACACAAACGCAAACACAATAGGTATCAGAAGGCACTAATTTTGATGAATATAGTTTTATTGTCCTATTATATATTTGGTACATGCACTTAATTTTTTAACATGCTCAGGGAAGGTCTAAGGAAATCATAAGGTAAGACAAAGTCTAGAAGTTCCTGCTGACCTGCTGTATGATGTACTTGAGGAAGGCTTGCCTGTAAGACAGGGAGGTGGGGTACCTCATGATGATGGGGTGATGGACAGTCTGTAAAAACAAGTTGAGGTGGTAAAAACTTACAACAATGATACATTGTAGGGTATCTTATAAGTACATTGTATACACAGATAGGTACGTATAAAGGACTTTAGTCATATAAATTATTACCTTGGCTTTTTAGGTTGTTTTATCACTCTCTTGCTTCAATTTTAACTGAATCCAATAATGGAAACAACTAATCAAAACGGAGTGGTCTTAAAATAGTTAATGATTATCATAGATTTATAGTTATAAAACACAAGTCAAATTCACCATTTGTAGCAGCTCTTTCTGATCCTCCAGATCAAAGACAGCCTTTCCCCTGCTGCCCCCATCAAGCTGCAAAAGAATAGAATATGAAGTTGTAAACATTGGTTATGCAGTAAAAATTCACTCACAATAAAACTGTTCAAGTTAAAGACGGAACCCTCCATTTGACAAAGGAGGTTGATTTGACTTGTGTTTTATGAAAATTGTAAATGGGAACACATACTCCTTTTTACAAAAAGGCAAAGTACTACTATAGCACACCAAGGACTTTTTTAATTCAGACTGCATAACTTTCATAGTCAATCCTTTTAGGACAGAACTATTTCACATCCCAAGAGCCATACTTTATGGGGACTTGGAGAAGTGGACAGCCATTCAATTACTTTTAGATTGTTGACCAATAAAATGTGAAACATTTTACCACAGCATTGGGAGGCTTTATAGGGTAAAGAATAAAGCTGACAGGAATAAAGGTCATGTGTTTTCAAACTTCAACATAAAGCCACTTATGTACATATAACCTGGCATAAAAATGCCAGAAAATGTATTCAAATATAATAGACCAAGCAAAGGTTATGGTTTTCTGTTAGGTACAGGCAAGGTTTTTTGAACAACACAGCAAACTTCAACCACTTCTCACAAAACACAATGCTGCAAACAGAGCAGGCGATTTCAAACCAGGAACACAGATCACGAACAAGATGTCTTCTTGCAAAAAGATGTCAACTTGTAAAAGGTTGGTATCATACCAATTATTATGATATGCTTCACTTTGCTAAAGATTAATGATGGTAACTCTTTGATGTTTATAGCATTACAAACTACAAGATATATGTAAAGCCACAGATGCAAGTTGTCATGTAGTGATTGCTAATGCATCAAATTTTGATTTCAACACAGTCTGATAGAATGATCATTAATCATGATTCCAGCAACACTGAATGAAATGCTTTTATCTTTATGATCACATTGTAGATAATCTCCTCCAAAGACAATGACCCGTTACAATTTGAGCTGTGGGACAGACTGCTCATTAATTCAGCATTATGGATTACCCAACTGGGCCCAATCAGTTTGGAGGATCAGACTTTGGTTGTCAGATGAGTGAAAAATCCCCAGAACATGGGACTGCACTGCATCTTATATTTATGGTGCATCATTTGGAAATGGTTTATGATACAAGGCTTTCAATAAAAGTTTACACATTTTCCATCTATTCAGTACAGGCATGCCAGGTGAATTATACATGCCAAACACATTCAAATGAAGCTCTTTTATCAACAGCAGGGCAGGTTTCTGATTTACATCTGACTTTCATATCACGAAAGGTACATATATCATATCTGCAGGTTCACGTCAATCATGACAACTTGGAACATAAGGCATGCAGGTTATAACAAGGACACTCTAGCGTCTCACTCAACATTTCAGGTTAGAAATTAAGCTAATAAACATCCTAGGATGCCAAACTAGTAGAAGAATCAATACAGTTGCAATACTTTTGCTCGACTAGAATTCTAGATTATCGGTACATGTACATATCAGAACAACAAGCTTAGAGGTGACAAGGCTGTGGATTAAGATTGATCATGATTTGTTGAAGGAACAAACAGAACATTGCACTGATTCATCAGGACACCAGCAGCACAAGCGCTTGCTTGTACTTACGACTGACGTTCTGACACCCCAACAATTGGGGAGGCTCACATGGTAGAGCAACGGCCGAGCATGACTCAGGGTCGGGCTCTGTACCTGTTCTATAGGGAACTACACAATATAGAGGAGAGAACAAGAAGTGTGATGTGAGATACATCAATGTATGTAGTAAACAGACAGTCATAGGATGGCTTCTCAGATCAGTCTCTTCCATGTGATAACAGTGTCATCATCAATGTCCCAAAGATAAATTAGAGGTGTGATATATAAGAGAAAGAAGAAACAAAAGACAGAATAGGTTGATATCCAAGCAGATGATATGGTGGCAAGGCAGTATGCCACTGTGGCTAATGGACACTCCCCTGGCCAATGGATACTGCCTTGCTACCGTATGATCTGCTTGGAGATTAAGAAGAATAGACAGGGTTACTCTGCATGTTCGTAACAGGAATTTCCTGAAATTCCAATGCAGGAATCTGGTCCAGGTAACTGTAATGTAATTGTAAGTGTTGGTTGATAGATATGCAAGTTCTTGTTTTGTGATGTTTATATAAGGCTATTAAAGGGGTAAAAATGTATTGCAAATGACATCAATGAGTAAAATATCAAATAAGTGTCCCAAACAAGAAGAACCATACACCAGTACTACCACTTAATTCCTACAAAGCTTCAGTAATTCTGAGCATCCCAAACATCTAGAAACTAACCCGATGGGAAATATGATCACATGTTAATTCTTGCCCCCCTCCCCATATCCTGAAAATTTCCTGCGACATAAATCCATATCGAGGAACGACTTTTATGAACTCATGCGAAAAAAATATTCCTACCTTCCATCTAAAGAACCTGAGCGGCACCATGGCCATGAACTGCGCCTGGACCAGCCGTAACGCCGGGTTTTCCTCAGAAATGTCGTCTGCTGGGGCGGAAATGGCCGCCATTGTCGCTGCACCATTCACGCATGCGCGGCCCGGGGCATGCTGGGTAGGGTCCGTAGCTTGGTGGTCGCCACAACAACAGACAGGTGAGAAACTCGCACGACTTGGCGGCGTTTTCTCACCATTCTAACTCTTCTGAGGGAATCAGACCTATACTGTTGCCTTAGAAACGTCCTATAAACGTCCAAGATTCAGAGAAGAGGGTCCTACAGTGCTTGTTGTTTTGTTTACTGCTTGTGTTTACCCCGAATTCCTGGTTGTGGTGGTGAGAAGAGAAGAGAACATGACTGAAGCAGCAGGTGAACCTAAGAAGGAGGAGGCGCACGACTTCAGACGTCTGCACAGCTATCCGCTCATTAGGGTAAGGCGGTTCTTCACGTAGAAGTCTCCTTATACACTTTAAAGACAGATGTATGATAGTTAGGATATAGATAACTTGTGAGCGTTAAAGTTTTCTCAGCTGGCAGCTAAGGATCTTTAGTTGAAAGGCTTGAAGGTCACCCCTCCCCTCATCACACTTGCTCAAATAGTTAATACGTTCATTAATTTGTATAAATAGAATTTCTGCATCAAATGCATCCTTGCTTGAACTGATAAGTGCTTGTAAGGATTGGATTTACAACTACATTGTATTAAACTATGTACATATAGTCATGTGGCAACTAGACACAACAATACATTAAGAAATCTTGCCATAAAACCTCATCTGCCTAGCTGCACGCCTAGAAATATCTCAATTTACAACAACAATGAAAATATCTTTACTCAAACAATGGACTCATAAAACTATGCAATCACGTTGATAAGATCAAGGTGATAAGACATTCTCTGTTGTCTTTGTTTGATGAAAGGATTCCATCTGTTGTCATTGTTGCTTTAAAGAAACAAAAGTTGTGAAGTTGTTCATCTAAAAACAATCAAGAACTATTTTGCATCTAAGAAGGTTTGTACATACAATAACTTCTTATTATTTCATTCCAGCACTCAGACATGAATGAGGAGATGAGAACAGAAGCCATGGAGTTGTGTGTGACGGCCTGTGAGAAGTTTGCTACAAATAACGAGGTCAGAATACTTCATAGTGTTATGTAATGGTTCATGGCTAGTCTAGGGTAGAGCTAGTGAGTTTATCACACATCTAAATATTAATTAAAATGGATTCTGATTTTCTGGAACACTTTTTGGTTTTTCAAGAACTGCAGAACTATACATACAATAGCAAGACTAGGATAGTGGGTGTTATGGAACAATTCAAACATAATTGATTGTTAGAGAATAGTATGTTCCTGTTCTACCTTTCATGTTTTGTAATAATAATTTTTTAATGGTGAATACAGTTCTAGAACAAAACTTGTCAACATGGCATTTGTGCTTTAGTGTTTAACTTAAATGAAATCTGTTTACTTTCTTACAACATTACCTTTCATACTTGGAGAAACTTGAAATTTGTCTTTCAAGACACACCAAACATTTTTTTAGGTCCATATGATGTCTTACATGACCATTCCTTCAATACTCTACATAAAGCTGAATATATTGTGTGTAACATCCATGACATGTATATTTTGTTGTGCAGACTGCTGCCCGTATGGTGAAGGAGAGTATGGATAAGAAGTTTGGGTCGTCCTGGCATGCTGTGGTGGGGGAGGGCTTCGGCTTTGAGATCACACATGAGGTCAAGAACCTTCTCTACATGTTCTTTGGAGGGGAGAAGGCCATCATTGTTTGGAAGTGTTCATAGAATGGGAATCATCTTCTGTATAGTGTGTTAGATTAAAACCTAAAGTGCCTACTGCAACATTCTTCAGTTCACTTAAATACCAGTATAATGTATAAATTTGATGCCATTTGTCACCTGGTAATGCTTATAATGGTAAGTCAGAGTTTGCCTTGGCCAAGTTGTGTCTTCAGAGCCAGGTCTGCAGTACATAGACTCTCCATGACTTGATGGAAATTTCTCATTCGGCAGTGTTCTTCTTAAAGATGTGATTGGTTGTTCAGAATAGTTTGACAGACTGAAGTTGGTTCTTCAGACTATACAATGTTGCCAGTTCTATCTTGAACTCCATGTAGCTTAGATACAAGTTCATGCAAAGATGTACAGTGAGATGACATAACTTGGAAGTACATGCACATATACGTTTATGAAGGTTACTCATCTGTGAATATATTACACATGTACTTGTAAATCTTGGTTTGATCAATACACTGTTACAGTTTACATGTTTTGACCACATTCCAGCAATCTTCACCAGTGGAAAGGGAGGAGTAATTAAGGAAAGGGAGATGAGGATTGCTAGATAGTGGTCAAATCATCTACAACTCTGCCTTAGCCAAGATTCAGAAGTACATGCACATGTAATGTCGATACTGCCATTGATGAGATGGAGATCAAATTTGCATTATTTTGTGAAATACCTACTTACTACTGTGAAATTTTATGAGATATACAAATGTAGCCTAGTTCTGCCTTGACATGCACCCAGATGTAAATATTTATTTCACTACCAAGTTGATAAGAATTCTGAAAAAAAATTGTCTGTAGCAAATAATTGTATGTTTGATAGGTGAAGGACAATTAAAATATCAGTTTTCAATCTGTTGCTGTTTTCTTTGTAGAGTAAGGTAATTTTGTCATCTATAGTCTATATCAGCAGTTTTAAACTGTTTAAGTCTAGTATTCACACTCAAAGTACGTAATGTATGGCACCAAAGTGGTAAGGAAGTAAAAAAAACCTAGAAAATTCTCACATGTAGACTCAGATATAATACTTTATTTGAAACATTCTGAACATGAGAAATTCAAATGCAACCTGTATTTTCTTTTGTGGTTGATCGCAGGTTTATATTCTGTACTTAAAATTTGGACATCAGAACTACATTCTACACCATACAACACACACTTTTGATGACAAAGCATCTTTCTGTAGAAATCATTTTACTGGTGTTGACAAATACTGAAAATCATTGCTCCAACCTGTTTTCCATCCAAATGTATTTCTAAGGAAGTTACGTGGTGATCTGTCTTTACGATTCAAGTTTGCAACCAAAGTTCATAATGTAGTGTACATTTCATAGGTAAACAAGAAGTACATGTATGGCAGTTGAGTCTGGACTACTATTATTGTACAGAAATAGCCTTTGAAAAGGCTATATACCACGTTTAGTTTTAACACAATCTGCTAGAGTATGGTCATCAGTTGTATGTATTTGTGTTAGACTAGTTGGTCTAGGTGTGGGGTGTTGGATAGATCTCCCAGAGCGGCCATGGTCGGCTTGCCGTTGAACACACGCTTCGCAACCTGCAACAAGAGCAACAAAGTGTTTAATCAAGTGAAGAACTAATGCATTTTCTTTCCTACATACACATACAAATACACATACTGCATCTAAAGTACCTTTACTTGATTTGCAAACCTTCTACATGCACTCTCAAGTGAACCTATGCAAGAGAACGATTTTTACGATTAGATGAAAGCATACATTATCCTCCTCACTGGTTTTGTAATTTTGTTGCCTTTTAGTGGGAATTACTTCCCCCGTTTTCACACAACCCATACTACAAGATACAGGCAGAAGAGAAAATTCTGCTGGGCTAGTATTGGGTGTACTAGTCATGAGAGGCACTGTACAGCAAGACCTGCAGAGAGCAATGCTCAGTGACTAACAGAAGCCTTAGGAAGTGGAGAAAGCTGTAAACATAGCCCAAGAGAAAAATACAGAACATAAACCTAAGCTGACCTTGACTATTTGGTCAGTGGTGATGGAGTCCACCTGTGCGGCCACCTGGTCAGGGCTGACGTAAGCTGCCGTCTCTACGGCCTGGAGCGCCAGGTCTTCCAGAACGTTAGCCGAGTCTTCCATGGACATCAGAACAGCAGCCTTCAGCTGGCTCCTACACAACCAATCAAGCAATATGTAAGACATCACATGATAACATTTAACATGTTCTACACTAGCAAAAATCAACTATCTTTCTGTTGCTTTTAGACATATCATCTAGACAAATCCTCTATCACAAAAGTCAAGCCACAACAGTATTACCAGGTATCAATGCTTAGCTTTGTATTCAAAGTAATTTTCTTCAGTTTAATAAGGGTGCTATAATTTTATATATAAGTATTAGTTTAGAAACTATCATTCATTGGCATTGAAAAAAATGAAAAAAAGTATTTGACCTGTTTTAACTTTATTTGCTTTTTTTCAGAATGTTAGTTGCTAAGAAGCTGGTTACTCACTTGGCCCTCTGTACGTCAGCTTCCTGAACATCACCCTTAGTGATGGCTCCATACTGACTCACAGCTGCCTTCAGAACCTGAGGGAGGGACAGAAAATGTGGACCTGACTGACAGGTTTCTGCAACTCAGATTTTTTTACAAAGTTCATTTTTTTTGTCATTGAAGAAGCAGTGTGCTGTTCTGTACCTCATTTATGTGTGTATTGTAATCGTGAATGTACATGCTGTAGTTCTATGGATGAAATCCAGGAAGAGTAGATTAGATTTGTTCTAATCAAACATCTAAGGCTGTTTTGGTGAGAACATGCAGTTGAAATCTTTAGTTGAAATGTTGACTCACTGTTCCCATCTGCTCAGCCGGTGCCACAGCCAACAGTCCAAAAAGCCCAGAGTCTGTGTAGTTGGCATTGAAGCACGTAGTCTAGATGTTACAGGGAAGAACAACAGACATGTCAGCTTTGAGATCAGAAAATGTTGCTAAATTCAACAATGAGCAACAGTTTCAGGGCTCAATATACCACCCACATAAGTCTGTTAGTGTATGTCAAATTGGAGTTGTGCAAACAAATGTCCACTCACTGCAAACGGCATCTGTGTGGCCTGAGCCACTCCCCTGTTCAGACGAGACGACGCGGTGTCGCTGCCCCGCTTGATATAGGGCCCGGCTCCCAGCAGTCTCTGCAGCACGGCGAGGGACAGCAGGTCTGTGCTGCTCAGCGATGACCCTTCTGTCACGATGGCCGCTGTGCTGATGGGGCCTGGCACATGTCTCCTGGAGTCAACTGGGGACAGAGACACAAGTTTCATGAAGAGCACCCCCTAACAATTAGAGCTGGAACTGCATAACATCTCATTGTAATGTAACAAAGTAACAGTAACTCAAGCAACTGGATAGGTTTTGAAAAAGGCTTAATGAAGGCACTTAGTTGCTTGACGAACTGTTACCTTGGTACCTTATTACCTGAATGTTTAACTTCATCAATATATCATAGTAATATACTTTGATAAAATGAGGACTCAATGTCAAGAGATTGATTCAAGTTAATCAGGTTGGTATTTCAGCAAAAACAATGTGTATAGGTGTCCCAGTGAGCATAATGACTGCAGCAGCATACTAGCATTTGGTCAGGCAATTTCAAAAACTTCCTGTTTGTAGTCACAAGATGGTTGAATTATGGGAAACAATGACAACCGAAAAGTATGTGAGTCCTTACCTCCTCCCACATACTTGGCAGGTGTTTTGTCTGCAGGCTGACTGGAGTTGACAGAGAACAGGTCCTCTCCAAGCTGTACCAGACTGTCGTGGTCCGTACCTGAAGAACACAAGAAAAACACAAGCAAGAAAAACACTTGTAAGACAAGCAGTGAAGCACTACAAAACATGTGTTGGAAGGTGTGATCTGTTACTTCATGCTGTCCTCATCTATTTGCTCCATTTTTGTCATATTCTCATTTGTGAACAGTTATTATCATGATCCTCCGAATGAATTCTTGGTCCATCATTGCATAATTTTCCCAATATCACAACATTCATATCATAACAATGGTTCCTTCTGGTACACCAATAAATACAAATGAGAAGGCATCTCTTATACTTATAGTTTACACATTTGTCTCTGTAATTTCATCTCTCCTAGCACAAACTAGAAATCAAAGTACAATCACATATATTTTGGAATCAATTTAAAACGGACTTACCAAGTCCCACCAGTGCCATGCCTTGGGAGCTGTAGCACTGCTGCATGAAGGCAGTCAGCTGAAATAATGACATATAATTCTTTATGCCTCAATTGAACAACCAGAAAAATCAAGAAATGCAAAACTCTTTGTAGCTAAGATAAACACCATCATGGTCATTTCAAAGTCACTGCTTCAGTCTAAATATTTGGATGTAGACCGTGTAAATGTAAGATTGGTGCTTTGTTTACTCACCATGCCAGGAGTGTGCTTGCCCAGCATGACTTGTGGTGCATACAGGCTGTTTCCAAGTGAGCCCCTGTAGGCTGCTGCATGGACCATTTCACTCACAACTGTAGATCAAATTGAAGTTAATCATCATTAATTCATACAATGTTGCATCAGCCCAAACTGGCTGTCGATAGTACATGTACATGTACATGTATTTGGCAAAATGACGAGTACCAAGCTTACGATCAAGGATCAAGTCCCTGGAGGATATATACCTTTTCCTCACTTCTCATCAAAGAGGTTTATTAGGTCATTTCTACAAGTAGACAAGTATCAACAATGGCACTGGTGCTTGGTGAAGACCCATGTTGAGGAGAGAACATACCGGTCCCTGGTTGTTTTTCTAGACAAGCCAGCTCCACTGCCATCCTGTTCTCAATAGAGGACACCTCCCAGGGTTTGAAGACTGGAGCGGAGACAATGCTGGCCAGGTAGCCCAGGGTCGACTGCCTGTCAGGGGCAGAGGAAATAGAATGCACAATTAGAAATGTTTCCTCCCACGTTCTTACTACATGTAGTAGGTAGACTTCTTGTCAAACTTTACATGTCAGTGAGACACAATAGTCATGCTTAATGTGGATCCTAATTAAGTCATGGTAAGCACCAAGAAGTACAAAATATAAGATTGGTGGCATGTTGATAAGTGATAACCCAAAAATACTGCATTGTTGCTTACATTTCATCCCTGAGGCAGTCTACTTTATACACCATGTGTTCTCTTGTTCCAGTAGCCCTTTAGATGGAAAAAAAAACAATTAATTTTAGATTAGTTTCATCTGTTTTTCCTATGCACAGGTGCATTCAAATGACAATATTTCTTCACTTTTGTCATTCAAAATTATATATTTGACTGGAAACTTACTCTAAGCTGCCACCCAGCACTTCCACACCTCGGGTTAGACGGAAGGTGGAGAATTCTTTTGTGCTCTGCAAGTGTAAAACAGAAAGTCAGAGTTATGTTGTGGCTTCAAACAAATGCTCGCCTGACTCTAGTCTAGTACCTTTTGAATCCAATGACATAACTACAAGACTTCAAATCATTAATACCCTTTTTTTTACTCTTTCTTGATTGACAAATGCTTGTGGCAGATAAAAGAGTACTGTAGTTTAAAACCTTATCTGTCTGCAAGAACAGTCTGAAAGAAAGCTAATCTCAAAGCCTAGATATTACACTACAGACAAGCAGTCCTTACTAAGTTTGCTGACAGCCTGAGAGCATGGGTGACTCCCACGTTCTGCATGGTCTCATAGCGACTGCCAGCCTTGATGTACAGGGCCACTCTGGACACAGGAGAGTTGTTCTCCAGGGAGGCCACCACCATGCCATTACTCAGCTTACTGATCTGTGGGAACAAGGCAGGTTCATCAGGTTATTTACTGGTACCTTCAATGAGCGAAGAACAGCTTGTATTTCTCATCCAACAAGTGTCAAGATGTGGTTATGGTGCTTGTTGCAAGGCGAGCCAAGATAGCGTAATGACTACTATCCCAAAGCTTAATGCTGAAATTCAAACTTACATTCTCTCTGTGTTGTACTACAAGACTTATACTGGATGCCACTATGACTTTTCCAAATGCCTTGCTCCTGAAAAGTTTTAAGACACTGGTTCTTTAACAGTGAAGAGTGTGCCAGCCTGGTTTAACTCCCTTGAAAGCAGCACTGTACACTTCCTATTACCTTAACATCCTCCTTGGGCAGAGGGGCTGGTGCCCCGGCCTCCTTAACTGCAGCCTGGGTCGACTGCAGTCGTCGCTGTTGTGAGAAACAGGAGCAAAGAGACATCAACATGTGAAAGACATCTCGATATCTCTTTAGTTTAACAGTACAAATGAATCTATTTCCTTGCTCTCTGTTTATCAAACAGTACTGTACACCTTCTTCATGGTCACTGGCAAAATGTCATTGTACACTGTATGTACATACCACACATGTATGCTATGTATGCATTCTCCAGTTACATAAAATTATGTCCTTAACAAATATGTACCCTTTACCTTGACCTGACATGACCCCAATGGCGATTATCCTGACGCCTCCTGTACTCACTGCTTTCATAATCTTCTCATCAATTTTCATGGAACGTTATATTAAATCTTAAGATATGTTAAAATGTCGATCATCCATGATTTGGGAATGAACAAAATTTTTGATAACTAAGTTAGTATAAGCTGCTGAAAGATTTAGCATGGTACTTAGGTAGAAAGACCTGCGTATTAGTACTAATGATCGGACATGCCTGATATTTACCTCCAACGTATAAAAGTTAAAACGATATCAACTGGAAAAGAAAACATCTACCTCCCTTCCAAATATATAATCTATGTAAAAGATAATTTTACTGAAACTAAAGGACTGAAAAAGTGAAGGCCGATGCCTCATGACCTTCGAATCATCGCCCAAAATGAGCTCCTTTCTATGATGCCGCTGGATAGAAATGCATTATGATCAGTTTTCCTACATTCTTACACGTACAGTTTACCATGTGTGAGGAGAAAAGAAGGATTCTATTTGGTCTGGAAGGATAAAACTTACGGAAAGTGGCCGTAACAACCTGGATGCCATGGCTTTGCCGGGACAAAATGGCGGACACTGTCACAAAATTCCCAGGATGCAACATAATTCACAGGTCAAAGGACCTATAGACTATTCCACTTATATGATGATTTGTAGAGAAAATATTCAGTTTATGTGATCATTATGAACACATAAAAATATAGTATGGAGGTTTAACATTCATACTAAACATATTTTATGATGTTAAAATTGTATCTGGTGTTTATTTTTACAAAGTAGTTGAGTTTTTATCGTGACTAAGTTCTTATATCCCTAAAATATTAGTGGCACGTTCTTTACGTAATTTACGCAACTGGGGCGTCCTTTCTCTTTGCAAAGGTCGCGGACAGGTGTTCTCACGTAAGCCATGGCGTTTATCACAAACGTCGCCGCCTCCTTCATGTCCAACCCGGGCCTGCTGGTCCTGGTGGTGGCGCTGATCGCGATAGTCTTCATGGTAACGTCCAACAGAAAGCCTCGCGGGAAGAACCCGTTTGCCGCCGACTGCAGGAGGCCGCCCTCTCCGCTGGTCACCGACCAGGCGGCCAGGGACAGAGTCATCAAAAATGGTGGGTACAGAGTTCACCTGTTGGCGCAGTCAAGTACAATATTCAGTGCACCTTACACTGTACGTTGTGGTGACATTACCTTTTTCCTTCCCACACATGTGCACTTTGTCGGCAACATCAAAAACAAGTCACCAGGTACTAGTAGTAGTCACATTTGTACTTGTAACTATCTGGAGTTTTTTTCACTGCTTCGTACTTGTTTATAGGTTACAGATCAGCCATTGTTTCGTTTTTTAAAGTGGGCATGCACCGCATTGTAGATACATGTGTATTGACATCTCATTACCCTGGGAAAGGGTACCAATTGACCTGGATCAGATGAATATCAGGTGGATATTTAATCATAAAGTAGTTCAGAATTCAACTGCTTGATTGCTCCAGAATTGTTTATCACTAGTCATCTAGAACAATCTGCAACTATTCCCATCTAGGTTTTGTCATCAAGAAAGTTCCGGAGACGCTGGACGCCGTGGTTGTTGGCAGCGGTATCGGAGGGCTCGGCGTGGCAGCCATGATGGCGAAGGCTGGCAAGCGCGTGCTGGTGCTGGAACAGCACGACCAGGCGGGAGGGTGCTGTCACACCTTCATCGAGAAGGGCTTCGAGTTTGACGTTGGTGAGTCTCGTCATCGTGGCAATGAAGATTCTTTGATGATTGCCTTGGCATTACAGGCCAAACTGGATGAAGAAAACAAAATTATTTAGTTAAGTTTAAGTCTTAGTTCCAAGAGTGGTGAATGATCCACTCACTGACTTTCCGGAAGTTGGAAGACTGTGATGACATCAGGAGTGAATCAAAAGTGGTAGGAAGACGGAATCTCCCACCGTCATGATTCAGAGAGGGTTGATGAGCCATGGTGTAAACTGCCTCCTTCACACCCCTCACAAAGGATTAGCCTGCTGTGTATCCAAAATGCAAACCTTGTCCAATTCTGACTTGTCTTTACAGGTGTGCACTACATTGGAGAGATGTGTGGGTCCACGATAAACAAGGTTCTGTTTGACCAGCTGACAGAAGGACAGCTCCAGTGGGAGAAACTGGATGATGCCATGGATGTCGTTGCCCTTGGTGCTGAAAATGTAATTACTTACTTACTTGTAATGTACACAACAATCCCATGTACAATGTTATTGTCTATGGATAAGTAGCATTTGGGGAAATCTGTTCAATCAACACATGTAATTTAAATGCCCATTATGTAACTATGTTATGCATGTATATGAACATGTTTTTATGAAAATGCATGTCTGAAAACTTTGACGTTTTTTAAAAATCAATGTGGTAGTCTTTTCATCTTTTCTTGAGTAGCTTCAAAATTTCTTGTCTTTGCTTGCTTTAGTAGCAATGAAAAGGTTGGATGCTTTTGTAACCAAGTTTCTTGTTTCTAAACAGCCAAGGAAATTTCCCATTGTACAAGGAAATGAAGCCTTTAAGAAGGCTCTTCTGGAGAAGTTTCCAGAGGAAGAGAAAGCCATTGATGGCTTCTTGCTGCTGCTGAAGGTTGGACATCTTCATGCTTATTTCTTAACATTGTACTTCACTTTTTTTGGCAACAGCTGATACAATGTAATAGTATAATAACTTTGCATGAAAGTTCATCTGTGTTGGTATGTGTATATAGTACTGTATTATCTGACATAAACTTTGACCCAACACAAAAAGTTAGCACAGTTTTTTTATGGCACTCTGTTAACTGCTGTGTTTTCCTGTTATTTGCACAGAAAGTAAGAAAGAGCATGTTGGGGTATGTTGGGCTGAGGTCCCTCCCCCAGTGGCTTGCTAGGCTGCTGGTAAAGACAGGTCTGGTGAACTACATGACCAACTACTTCAAGTATGCCAGCAAGTCAGTCAAACAGACACTTGATGAACTCACAGACAACCAGGACCTGAAGGCAGTTTTGTCTTACAGCTTTGGTGACTATGGTGGGTAACATTTTCATGTACACAATATTTAGTAAAAAGATGTTTATATTTTTTGTGAGAAAGGAAGGCTGCACTTGACTAGGAAGTTATTCTTGTTGACTACTGCTATCTGAAAAAGTGACTTTTCCTATCCAAGCATCTAGTCATGCTTGTGTATATCTTATTGTAAACTAATGATGATGATGCTATTTGCAATGCCTTTTATAGGTACTCCTCCCAAAGATGCCCCCTTCACCATGCATGCCACCTTGATCAGCCACTACTACTATAACGGAGGGTACTACCCCATCGGTGGTGCCAGCGAGATCGCCTTCCACATGATCCCTGTCATCGAGAAGGCCGGCGGTGCCGTGCTGGTCAGGGCACCTGTCACTCAGATTCTGATTGACAGCAGTGGTGCTGCATGTGGTATGAATTTGTTCTTATGTAAACTGTTATTTTAGCTGATTGTTGTGTTCATGCTGTTTAATTTTCCTCCATTTTAAGTGAACATTTATTTTGGTTTGTAGTGCTAGAGTAGATTGAGTCAATGAGAGCACATTGGTGCTGTTTCATATTTGAGGAAAAAAGATTTACAGATTATTAAGATCAGCCTAAAAAATACATGTCTGAAAGAAAAAAATTCATTTTCAAGATATGTCACAGCCACCCTTCTGTACTACCTTAATTTTTGTCAGCTTTACTTTTTTTATAGAAGGTTGTTAAGCAGGTCTGCATACTGTTTTTGTATAGTTGTGGTGTTGTAGGTATCTTGATAAGGAGATGTCTGAATTTTCCCTGCAGGTGTGCGTGTACACAAGTCCAGTGGAGACATAGACATCCATGCACCAATAGTCATCTCTGATGCCGGCCTGTACAACACCTACCAGACTCTGCTGCCCAAGGAAGTTGCCGTGAAACATGGTAAAGAATATTACCGTTATTCAATGAAAGCCTATCTGTTCCAGTGATATATAATTCAAATTTGAATTGTTGTAAATAAAAACTCCTTTGTCATCTCAGTAATAATTGCATTATCTAGGTTGCTGTCCATTACTTAAAAATGTAAAAATTCAAGGGCTTTTCCACACTTCATGCTTCATTCACAATATTCTAAATGTACGAAAAATATCTCCAACATATCTGGGTGTTCAAGACATTTATGAGAAATGCCCCCATAGCACAGACAGTCTTAAGGTAATCATAGGAAGTGTTAGAGCTGACATTAACTGTAACTCTGTGTTGCAGGTTTGGATTGTGTGCTGAGCAAGGTTCGGCATGGAGTTGGTGCAGTGAGTCTGTTTGTGGGACTCCGTGGTACTAAGGAGGAGCTGGGACTGAAGGCACAGAACTGCTGGGCTTTCACCCGTGAGTAGCACTGCTGTCAATCATGCAGCATCACTAGTTGTTTTATGTCAGTGATATCAGGATGTTACCATAACAAGCAATCTTACGTACTGTAACAAAGCAATATCTTACATACTCAATGTAATTTAGCCAGCAGGCTGCAATATACGGTTGCAGGAAACCATTCATTCACATCCATCCGTCCATCCATCTAACCATCTATCCATTCATCCATCCATTCATTCATTCAAGTAAAATTGATAGCTGTTAGCATATCTCTCCCCTACAGTCAATGTTTCATTCATATCAGTGCAGTAAGAAAGTTTTATGTACACACATGTCTTACTGATGAAAACCTGAATATTGTTTGACTTTCAGACAATGACCTTGATGCAGGCTTTGAGGAATATGCCAACAGGAGTGCAGAGGATGCTGGGAAGGCTGATGTTCCTCTCCTCTTCATTTCCTTCCCATCATCCAAGGACCCCTCCCATGAGCAGAGATACCCAGGTAACATGACAGTATAACATGGAAAGATTTTTGCTGTCAAGACATGAGTTTATAATAATCTATTCCATGATCCGTGAAAGACCTAGAAAGAACCAATGACTTTACCTGAATTAACTTTTATGGAGACTTATCATTGTATCACACTAGTCTCTACGAGGCCTCAGAAGCACCTGGAAAGAGTAGAAATTGGCCAAGTAGACAGATACCGGTAGCACGCCAGAGGAGTTGGTCTGCAAAAGGACTATTTCCAGCCTCCCAAAATACTCCTTTAGCGACCAACTCTCCAGGCATGTTATCTGTCTATTTGGCCAATTTCTACTCTTTCCAGGTGCTTTTGAGGCTGAAATCACTCCATGAAATTCTTGAATCCTCATCTACCCTCCAGGCAAGTCTACCTGCACGGTGATCACGCTGTGCCCGTACGAGTGGTTTGAGAAGTGGGAGGACGAACGCGTGATGAAGCGAGGACAGGAGTACAAGGACCTGAAGATGTCGGTGGCCGCCAGGATCTGGGACCAGACCTGCAGGCTTTACCCACAGATAAAGGACAGGGTCAGTGTCACAGGCTCCTCCTAATGGTTTCAAGTAGAACTGCAGTTCACAGCCTTTCACATATTTGCTATATCTGGCTCTTCCAGGTTCAATCACCCAGCATTGTGACTGTGATGTCATTTGCAAAGGTTTGTAGATCAGTCAAAACTGCCCAAGAAGACCCTCAGGGGACCAATAAAATCTGGTCTATGTGGACACGTGGTCACTATTCTTAATACTTGCGTCAGTGGGAAAAATTATTTAAGGGCCCACTATAAAAAGTGGTCACAATGGCCAGGTGGTCCTTACGTAGAGGTGGTCATTTGAACACTGTTTGACTGTATACTGTATCGTATTCTTGAATGGCTAGTGATTAGCTGACAGTAAGACACACCATGAGAAGTGATATAGGCAATGATGGAATAAGATTCTTTTTTTTTTCACTCCTTCCAGGTGGAGTATTTTGAGATGGGAACACCTATCACCAACAAGTACTATATTGCGGCCCCCCGTGGGGAGATCTACGGGATTGACCACAACATGGCTCGCTTCTCGGCAGACACGGTCACCCAGCTGCACCCAGAGACACCTGTACCCAACCTGTACCTGACAGGTAAGGCACTGGATCACTCACTGTCCAGGTTATCATCTGTTGTTCCCTGTCTCTCGATGGTTAGGCTTGCTTGTACATGTCACGTGCGAAATTCGGTGCAAGTCTTGGGGTTTGAAGCAAAAGTTTCAATGGCTGGATGCCCTTCCTATTGCCAACTCTCAAGTTTTACAGCTTTCAGAGACTTGCTGGGTAGCTAACTGGATATGCTGTTGTTTTTTGTAACAGTCGTATTTAACAAAAGATCAGCTTTAACTGAATCAGCTTTGAAGCTGTGCCAAGTGTGTGTTTTGTGTCCCACAGACTGGAGACAAGGTTGTTGTTGTTATTTTTCAGGCCAGGACATCTTCTGCTGTGGTCTGGCCGGCGCCCTGTTTGGCAGTATCCTGTCCGCTAACTCTGTCCTGAACCGCAACGTCATGTTTGACCTCATGAACCTCAGGAAGAAGATAGCCAAAACCAAGTAATCCCATCATGCTCTGCACTAGGGGCCAAAACCAAGTAATCCCATCATGCTCTGCACTAGGGTTCAGGTCAGGTTACAACTTTGGGGTCAGGTGCAGTGTTTTCTGACAGCATAGGGGTCAGGTACACTAGGACAACTTTTTGTGACAAGCTGTGTCTTAAGTGCCAAAGACATGACCACAAGAAATTTTTTTAATTCGCTAAATGAGAGTCAAATTTACACTGTTACAGCCTTATTCCATCCATATGCAATGTCAGTGACATTTTTTATTGGCAGAAGTGATACAAAATGACATGTTTTCCTTCTATGGAGGTAAACATGAAAAAAGTCAATTGTCCCATTGCAGATAAATAATCATACAATGGTAGTTTTCATTTGCATTTGCTGTGCTTTTATTTGAGTTTGGAATATATATAGCAATGAACTACATGTACTAGTATATAATGGTGAGAAAAATCTATGAAATCAACAATGAATTATGCTGTTGCCTAAAGAAAGCTTGGTGAGATTGACTTGAAACAGTATGTAATACATGACACAAATACATGTACAATGTATTTGGGTTATTCACAATTATAGGTATCTTGAGATTTCCTACTTTAAAACAAGTACCATGTATCTCTAGTTCCTATGATCATTAAAGCTTGGTGATTTTAAAATTATGAATAACATGATGTGCTGTCAAAAATACCTGCCTCTCAAAGATATTCTTATCATTTTCTACACAACCTAGGCAATAAATTCAATTGCAGAAGTAAGCTGAAAGCACACATTGAAGCAAGCTTTTCATAATTTTTTAAAGAAATCTGATGCAGTCGATTTTAAAAGAACTACCCAGTAGAAAAGTCCAGTCTCTGCAAAATATTACCAAACATACATGCCAGCATGAAGTGTCATCTTTGTTCATTTGCAACATTGGGGGAAAATGAAACTACTCTCCAACACAAAGATTGGGGTGAGTCTGAACTTTTGTCTTGGAAAGTACATGTAGTTAGCATGTTTATGTAGTTCCATAAACATGCTTTTCAGTTCAATAATGCTGCTAGTTTAAATAATATACCCATGTCTGTTGACAGCCCTGTAACATCTGTTTCTTTTATCCACTACAGCCCAGCAGTTCTGGTTCCTATTATAGGTCTAACATTGAGGTATCCACTTGTGTGTTTGCAGAAAAAATAAGACCTCTTCATAGATTCTTTGGAAGACAACATTGTGCTAAAGAAGTACCTTGCAAAAAGATTAGCTTCCTTGAACACAAATTTTCTTTAGTTCCTAATATTATCCTTCCTTTCCTAATGTGTGTCCACAGCAACAATAGATACCTTGCATTGTTGAGACATTTGGCAATTATGGTAGCTTTAAATGAAAGTTTATCTGTGTTGATGATAGAGATCTTAGATGCTAGTTCCATACACAAAGCAAAGCTTCAAGGAAGGATCGAATTAGAAGGTCAAGAGAACTGATCGAAAACTTAACTGCCAGTATCATAGGTATATACTGTTGTTGCCTGGGTAGCATCCTGGTTGGTTTCGTCTGCTTTTATAGTTGCTACGAAACCAACCAGGATGGTACCCAGGCTGTTGTACAAGATCTAGTTTTTTTTCGTTCGCCCGCCCTACGGCGGGCGAACGAAATTGTGTTCGCTTTCCTACATGCTCCTAGGTAGGTACGTTCGTTGGTCCTAATTACGTCATGTTTCTGTTGTCCGAGTCGGGTCATTGTGTCTGCGCTGTCTGCGCTTGGGGTCCCGTATGTACATGAAGCGCTAAAAATTAAAATTGGGCTACTATAAGATAAAATGTCACCACAGCTCTATGTTTGACAAAATTAAACATTTCAAATATAATTTTACGTCAAAATGTCGCCCACGTGAGCCATAAACTGACAAAAGCCACACATTGCTCATCGTTGCATATATTATGTTAATAAGCCAGCAAGATCTGGCAGTGGCAGTACGGCCTATCCCCGCTAGGGTGCGCTTATGCGCATGCAGAGCAAAGCAAGGCCACAGGTTTGTGTGCGTTTGTATTTTTTATCGTGAAAATACTTACGTTTTGAAACGATTTTCAACGATTTGGAGCGTATGATTGTGTTTTAAAGTACTTCATAGAACAACAAAGCTCTGTAATGCTTTCTAGAGATTATGTATGGGAATAATAATAATATTTCGGTGCCTTTGTTTCGGCATGCCGCGAAAGGGGGAGGGGGGCGTGTGACCTTATAAAATACAGTTCTGTCTGCTGCAGCTTGAACGCGCACTTTTGTGAGAAAAGAATTTGGGAAACGATCAACCAGTCTTAACTTCAAACAGTTGTCGGCTTACTCTTAGAGGTCAGGAACGCTGTAGGGGTCATTTGTTGTGTAGTTTGAATATATGTTGCAAGCCAAGCCCTTACAAATACGCTTCCATGCATGGCTGCTTTGATACAGTGTTATTAAAATTATACTACTAGTATGTCAAAGCAGCTATGCATGGAAGCGTTTTTCAGTTATGTTCAGTTGCACACAAACACAAACCAGTTTGATGAAGGCAGCATGATGTAATTAAGCAAAACAGAATTTAATGTATTAAAAAAATTGAATTACTGATTTTTTTTCTTTCAGTGACTACCGTTGTTTGCTAACTCGTGACTACTGTACATGTTCTTGCACTGCACTACATTTCTCACACTCCCTTTGAAGCAGACTGTACCTTATATAGTCATTTTGTTTTCAGTTGATAGACGGTATAGTTACCCTTATCATGTTTACTTTACAAGCTAAAACATAAGGTCATTTTCATGTACACAAATGTACCTTATATAGTCATTTTGTTTTCAGTTGATAGACGGTATAGTTACCCTTATCATGTTTACTTTACAAGCTAAAACATAAGGTCATTTCCATGTACCTTATCAAGGACATTATATAGCTACCTATATAATGTCTTGACCTTATATAGTCATTTTGTTTCCAGTTCATATGACGGTATACTAGTAGTTCACTCATCGTGTTTATATTTACAAGCTAAAAACACAACGTCATTTACATGTACCTTATCAAGGACATTATATAGCTACCTATATAATGTCCTTGACCTTATATAGTCATTTTGTTTCCAGTTCATATGATGGTATACTAGTAGTTCACTCATCGTGTTTATATTTACAAGCTAAAAACACAAGGTCATTTCCATGTACCTTATCAAGGACATTATATAGCTACCTATATAATGTCCTTGACCTTACAGTTATTTTGTTTCCAATTCATATGACGGTATACTAGCAGTTTAATCATCGTGTTTATATTTACTAGCTAAAAACACAAGGTCATTTCCATGTACCTTATCAAGGACGTTATATAGCTACCTATGTAATGTCCTTGACCTTATATAGTCATTTTGTTTCCAGTTCATATGACGGTATACCAGTAGTTACCCTCATCATATTTATATTTACAAGCTAAAAACACAAGGTCATTTTCATGTACCTTATCAAGAACATTATATAGCTACCTATATAATGTCGTTGACCTTATGCAACGTGAGTCATTTTGTTTCCAGTTCATATGAGGTATGGTTACCCTCATGTTTACTTTACAAGCTAAAACACAAGGTCATTCCCATGTACCTTATATACTAGTAGTCATTTTGTTTCCAGTTCATATGAGGTATGGTTACCCTCATGTTTACTTTACAAGCTAAAACACAAGGTCATTCCCATGTACCTTATATACTAGTAGTCATTTTGTTTCCAGTTCATATGAGGTATGGTTACCCTCATGTTTACTTTACAAGCTAAAACACAAGGTCATTTCCATGTACCTTATATACTAGTAGTCATTTTGTTTCCAGTTCATATGAGGTATGGTTACCCTCATGTTTACTTTACAAGCTAAAACATAAGGTCATTTCCATGTACCTTATATACTAGTACATTGTAGTCATTTTGTTTCCAGTTCATATGAGGTATGGACCCTCATGTTTACTTTACAAGCTAAAAGATAAGGTCATTTCCATGTACATGTACCTTATATACTAGTAGTCATTTTGTTTCCAGTTCATATGACGGTATACTAGTAGTTACCCTCATCATGTTTATATTTACAAGCTAACGACAAAAGACAAGAATAAAGAAAATTGTTGTACAACCCAAATGTGTGAGTCTCTGTATCACTGCGATGTACATTTTCAATTGCTTATAATACCTAGAAATTTAGCGTCAGCAACTCACAAACCAAGGAAAACACACATTACTCCTTTGTGTATATATCATACTAGTCAGCCAAAATCACAGTTGCTTGCAGTAACGCCCTTCCTCCCTAGGGAACATTATATTAATCTTTACAGTGTCCAGCACAAATTGCTCTTCTCAAAAAACAGAAGAGTCGTACACAAAACAAACTTTCCTACAGACTACACGGGCGAACGACAGCTTTTTCAAAAGCACTTGTTTTCACAGTTTTTGCAAAATGCATGCATAGTCCCACATTGTATGCAGTGTTGAAGATAGCAGCCAAACTGTAAGTAGGTAGCTTGTAATACTACAGTCTCCTGTAGTATACAACTGCACAGTTGAGGAGATAGCAGCCAAACTGTAAGTAGTGGGGATTGTGAGTACTATCATCAGATGACAGTCTCCCGGTGTATAGACGCCATGCTGCTCCCACTGGAGCTCATCTCACTGGAGGTGTATGCTGACGACTCCTCCACAGCCATGGTCTCTCCTGTCAGAGAGTCTGGGTATAGGGAGGGAGGGAGGGAGGTTATTTAGGGTGATTTATACAATATCTAACCTGTGCATTCAAACAAGCATACCTGCTATCTCAAATTACACTAATGGAGATAGCATTCTTTTGAATTGATGGAAGAGACATGGATTTACTGTTCTGCCTTTTGCACCAAAGTGTTTTGTGAGAGAAAAGACATCTTGCATTTGGCAGTTAGTAGAACATTCATCGATCAGTGACTTTTTTTGAAAGGTAGCAAACACGTACTAGGCATAAAAAATTCGGAGGTAGGTGTTTGCTACCTTTCAAAAACTGTCACCAATCAATGAATGTACTAACTGTTAATATATATGTGACCGATGAACCTCTTCAAAGACATCTTGCATTTGTTTGCAATTGTTAGCCCAGGCATTGACTTTTTGTCCACAGTTTTTTTCTTCCAATCATAAGACAAAACAAATGGTGCCTTGAGAAGAAATTGCCTCTAGGAAGCTGCAAATATCTCTGTTGAGGGTGGAAGTTACAGGCTGAGAGAAAAGACTCACCAACAGAGATGCCGTGCTCCATGGCACGTGGAGTCTTGTCACGCCTCCTGGTGTAACGTATGAATACTGCAATGGCGAGCACCAGGACTACACCACAGGCCACCCCGATCGCAATCAGCTGCCACTGGAACAGTTCACCAGTGCCCTCGGCCCCTTTTATTTCCTTCCCAAAGGGCAGGGTAATTGTAGTACTGGCACTGACTGTGGAGTAGGAAGAACATGGTCCACACATTGTTTATTTTCATTCTACTACTAGTATTTCTAGATGTATAATCCACTGACTACATTGCCATAGGTATTCAATCCTAATGTAGCTGTCAAGTCTCCTTTGTCCTGCAATAAATGTAAATTTAGAGGATGAAAGAGACTTGGCAGCAATAACAGGTTTGCATTCCAGGCTAACAACTGAGCTGTCAGACAGTCTGGATATACCATATGATCCACTACTTAACTGTGAGACATGAAGTGGTGGACAGAGCAGCATGCAAACATACATCTAGCAGTCATCTTTTAATTCAAGAGTAATGGGAGGGAAAGTTGCTTCTGGAATGCATGTATATTGCACAGTATTACGGTAAACTGTTTTCAAAGATAGGATTATTCTCATAAAGAAAATGTGGAGTAAGGAGATAAAGAGCAGTGTAGACTGTTTTTAGGGGGAACTTGAGTAACTTTGCCTTCCTTGTCTCGGTTGTTGTAGGTGAATACTATTAGTACTATTCAGGACGCAGGATTCTTGCCACAGTTGCATTTAATCTGAGTACCTGATGAAAAATCTGGAACAGATGTTGTTGGTACCGCTGAAAACAAAAACAAAATAGGTTGTAGCCCTGGGTTGTAGGTGGAAAAAAGCCTTGAAAAATAAGTCCCCCTGCGACTTTCACTTAAACTGCAGCTGCTTTCTTCGCTATAGATTTCGTTCAGTCCTATTCAGGGAACAGAGATGCCCTGGCGAATGTTTTCGGGAGTATTTTCTGTGTTTATGTAATGGTATCAAGTCAAAGTAAACGGTTAAGTCGGACTTTCATGCTTGCGTTAGGTTGCTCTGAAAATAAGAGAACGTGCCATAATCGATCTTTACCTCATAGACGTCATTGACTTCCCACTCAACTAAGATGTTTATTTTTACAGACGCTGGTATCTTGGCAACCTTGTCGCCTTTCCGATACTACGCACTTTGTACGCACGTAGTTTGCATAAGCTTGACTTCTATTCTGATACCACACGCCCCTGCAACTTTGTTCTTTTCAAATGTGTTGTATCGCCACGAATACCATTGAAAGCAGGGCACTTCCTCTTGTATTTTCGCGTCATGACGTCTTTGTGGAGATAGTGACTCGTTGGGCATTAAACCCACCGCACCAGCAAATCCTAAAATCGCACCGTTTCGTAATGTACATACTCAACTGATCAGCGAAAAGTAGCAGTCGAAAAAGGTATTTTCTCCCAACATCTAGTTGGGGGTACGCCGTATGGCCTGAGGGAATTTTACCCTTGAACGTGGTGCGGAGCGGACCATAAACAATCATGGGGAGGGGAGGGGCGTATAAAAAAGGGAATTCGAAATACATGTACTATTCTGACTGGAGGTTATACTAAGTAGCACAGGATACATATTTTCTCTCCCATACATTCATACAATCATGGACCTCCGATATTTTCTCCCACCACCACCGATGCTTAGTTCTTTACCAATCAACACAACGCTTTACGTTAGTCGCTACAAGCGTAGATCGTTACCATGTTATGAAGTGCACACACGTGTAATGCGAGACAATTGTAAGACAAGTTTTACAAAGACAGGCGTTTACAGTACACGTAATATATATATAATTACGGTTACTGTTTTTGCTTTGCAAATTGTTATTACCATCATCTATATGTTACATCATATATACTCACACCAGTGGATATCCCAACCGATGAACAAAAGAACGTAAGAACGCGAGAAAAAAGTAGGTTGAACTTACGGCAGTCTCCACAGTGGGGGTTATGTGCGAACTTGACACAGGTGGCACAGTCTCGACAGCCAAGATTAGGGTCGAACCCTTGACCGGGATCACAGTGGAGGCTCATCTTATTAAGGACGGCTAGTTTAGCGGCTTTACTCGCAGTGAGTGACCGCAGAATGGCAGTGTGCACACGGAAGAACCACAGAGTGGCTAGGATAAAGTCATTGGCGTGATTTCACCGTCACTTTCCTTCCGGCGGTAACAGAGTCAGTAAAGGAAACACAAGGAAAACGTGCCGGTATTGCTGTTATGACTCACCGCGGTAATAATAACGACTTCCGAGAAATGTGCTGCGAATGCGCGGCTCGGGACTGAAGGCGTTCCTGTGAATGTAGAGTGGGATCCGGGAACAATCAGGGAGGTTCTGTCAATAAAAGCTAAGTTCCTCTTCTCGCATATTAGTTCTGTATTTCACCGTTTAGTCTCTACGGGCTCCCCACAGGACTGACTGGTAGACTGACCTATTAACCAAATGCTTTGAATGGTTATCTTGAATGGTTACCAAAGTGATTAGCTAATGCCATAGGGATAGCTCCGAACCCATGAAGAAAGTTGTTTAGTCTAATCGCGCCAGTTTCTACAAATCAACCTGCCTGAAAGGGGCCTGCTGATATAGGCTATTCTGCTTCAGGCGATGACGTGTAAATAGAACTCCGCAGTGCGTGGGCTGTATCACTATCAGTGTATGGTCGTCAAGATTTTTGTGACACCCACACACACCAAGACCAACAGCCCATACGAAAATAAAAGCTATGATAACAAGCTAGCTTCCAAGGCCACTCAAGCCTGAACTCCAATTGCAACATGACATGACCGCCAGTGAACTCTGTACCCTGTTCCAGGTACAAGGCCACCGCCTCCGTACCAATCATTACAGGTCATGTCAATGATCCGTGCAGCTTATAACAAGTCACGTTTCATGAGAGGCAGAAATCGAGATAGAACCTTAAATTAGTAGAAGTAGAACTTTATGTTAGTGCATGGTTTTATACCATTCTTCAATACATTCTGTACTCATATCATTGCCTTTGTCATGTTAATTATGGCATGGACCTGAAATAAGAACTAAAACAAATTAAACGCCCCCTTCCCTACCATTGTTGGGACGTCGTGACCGAAACTAGCGCAAGTAAGCTCACTTTCGATTGGAGTCATTATGGGAAAGTCCGGCAATACTGAAATTTTGCTGGGAGTGTTTGCCAACAAACATGGCCATTGTCGACATGTCATGTCAGAGAGTAAACATAGTAAACATACCTGGTTCCTGGGAACATTTGAACGTTTTGTTTCTCTCAAGATCTGTTCATGTGGAAGAATCTGTACAGTAACTGTGCGTGTGTGCAAATGTCATGTAACATGCGCACAAAATACAAAATGTACGTAGTTTGAACAGTAGCTGTACCGTACAAACGTCTTGAATACATTGGACTCGTTTCTTTGTGAAGTGATGCAGAGTTTTGCTTGGATGTTTGGGGAAGAAGTTTCAATACGTTTTTGCAGGTCGGAAAAATACAGTTTATGCCCCGCATTTGTACATCCGGCATATCAGACACATCAAGGAAACGAAGTGAGTGAACTGCAGAATTTGTTGGGGATGTTAAGAAAAGTCCCATTCTGGAAATGCTTTGTTGTTTTTTTTTTTTTGTAAAACCTTTTCCATTTCCTGCAGAGTCAGAATCACGGGACCGGCCTGTTGTAGCTGTGCACGTCCCCGTCAGGAAATAAACGCCGACGGAACAGTTCAGTGACCTTTGGTATGACGCTCGGCAAGCCGGGTTATGTTCGGGGAACTACCTCAGCTCTAATCTTGACCCAGAACTGTCTCGCGCGTGCGTTCTGTTGTCTACTTCTCTCATGTTCCCCTCTTTCTTCTCGCTTTTGAGAGCTGCAAATGGCTTGATACCTTTCCTTAGAGAGCAAGGAAACATTAAACTAAGAAGAATCAAGAAAAGTGCGTCCACATCAAGTGACTTTCGCTGAACCAGGCTGCCGAGGGGATTCCCCGGGGATTTCCTTCTCAACCCGGAAGTAATGATTTGCGTACACTGGGCACACATGCGCAGCCGGGTGACTCAACAAAAGTTCAAATTTTAAGCTAATTGATACGCAATGCATCTTGTACAAACACTGCTCTGTCTTAATTAAGTTACATGCTTAATCGTTTAATTAACAAAGTTAATCGTCTTTATGGATAAACTCATTAAAAGTCTTCAATACAGTACGCAATAAAAGTAACTGTGTAACGCACAGGTCTTCCTGATATAAACAACGCTAGAGCAACTAGTGAAATAACATGACAGAGACGACGTTTAGAATGTTTACTTTTACTTTTCACTATAGAATGCAGAATATACAAAAGTGGCAAAAGCCTGCTATAACACACAGTGAATTTATATCAATTCAACTTTTCCGAATTACGGGGACACAGCTGGAAAAGTATTACGGGACCTTGTTACGGGACCATGATTTCCCTCTCGTGTTGTATAATGCTATGCTATAATTTCACCTTGACATCGTGCATCAAAACTACTATTTACAAAGGCACGGTCGGTGTTAGCACCTGACGTGGAAGGAGAATATTTTGTTCGTGTTCGTCAACAAGTAAGCGTCGTTACCGTCCATGCAGTCGCTACTAACTTTCAATTTTGTCAGGACTCTCCTTTAGTAGCAATCTCACGAATCGGTAGGTGTGACTCTCTATATTCACGTCACTTTTAAGTACTGCACAGTGCCGAGAACTTCCACAAATCCTAACCGAAGACATACGGGTAACAATATGGCAACAAAGAATTGATATGGCAGCATCTAAGAGGCACTTAAACCAAGGAGGTTATATCTCCTTGCTTGAACATCATATGACAGACGTTTTTCACAGACCTTGAAAAAACAGATTTGCATACCCTGTTATTGGAGACTACCGGCATGTAACGTTTATGGAAACGTTGCCTATAGACAGGGTTCGTTCTACCTTGAACAAAACAACATGCAAGCGAAGCACCTGTTATGCATTGCAGTGGTAAACTTGAGCTCTAACATGCTTACAGGCTATAGTATTCTGCTCTTAGCAGGTTTTCTAATGCCTTCTGAAAAAACGGAGTTGCACAACGAACGATGTTAGATTGCTGAGGTGGTGAATTGGGGAAGGTGCCACCAAAATACTGATCCGATACTTGATTTCGGGGAGAAATGGCAGAAACCAGCATGCCAAGGGGAAGGCACTGTAAGATTTTTATCCTTTCCTTCAGACCACTCGTGCTTTCCAAAATATCGGACACCTCCCCTCCGATTCACCCCCAAAACAGACACAATTTAGGTGAAGGTGTGGGGAGAATGAGAAATGGACGTTCCCTCCGCGGTCTCCCGGATGGGCAGGTAGTCATCCTCCACCGGCTCAGGGCCCGCCAGGGGTCGCTGCTCAACTTCAGCCGGCTCTGGGAACGCAAAATGAAACAGATTTGCCCATCAAAAAGAAATTTTTCAAAAACACATGTGCCAGATTTGGGGATAATAGAATTCCAAAAGTTTTGGAATTAAAACTAGAACCTCTTGTAAAATTCATTACCGAATTTTCCTGATTTGTTCTAGAGTGACAGGTAAAGTGCTCACCGTGTGTCTGTGTATTTGCGTGGTTGACCACGTATTTGGGTTTGGTCAGGAGGTCGTCTTGTTCCTGTACAGGGGCCTCTGCATTGTGGTCAGGATGAGGAAGGGCGTGTTTTCTCCTGTACCACCACAGGGCGGCTAACACTAGCAGCACCACCACCACTAACACAGCAACAACGGACAGACCCGCAACTATCGCCACGGTCGGGCTGCCTGTAAAAAAACCTCACAACATATCATTGGACAGCATGTCATAATTCTACAGTATATAATACATTTCAGGCAAGAAAGTTTACATTTGAAAATGTAGATTTGAGTCTACTACTGTATTGCAGCGTAGTGTAGACAACCATTACGATATATTTCCTTATAAAATCCAGGCTATTAATTATTCTGTATCAATGACTTCTAGGAGCATGTAGAAATCAGATGAATAGTCAGCCATACAGACAGACGTATTAAAATGTCACACAGGGCCCGAACGGTAACTATGTAAACATTGAACAGAAGAAAACAAACATGGCCATTGTTTGGAGAAAAAAATCAGCGCCGCTCACTCAAACAGTAGTACAATCAGATTATAAGAAAAATAGGACAAAAGGCACCTTGAATATCATTACGTTATAGCCTTTTCTTGAAAAATTATACGTTTAGTTATTGACTGTGGGCCGGTGCGCATTCATTGCAATATTGAACGGCCCAATGAATTACGTCAGACGGTCAGTAAAAGAAAAGAAGAAAACCGAGAGCATAGAAATCCTATTCAGCACAGAGACCAGTATACCGGAAATCTTGTGTCTCCGGCCCAACCCTCAGTTCAAATAGACAAAAAAATGAACCACATTTTCAGTGAACGCTGAAATACAAAATAACAGGGGTCCTGATCCTGTCGATGTTTTCAGCTTCCCCGTTTTGTGTGTTCTTGTTCGTGTTCAGACTTAATAAGATAATCAAGAAGAGAATATTCAATAGAACGGCTCTCGACCATTTAAGTGTTTGGGCGAGACGGGGCACGCGCCTCTAAGAATACTCTACTCCGAGAAATACTAGTATGTAATCGTCTGCCTATCCCCTGATCTTTCGCGGATGTGAGCAGAGTTGTTGGCCTCTGAGCTCATCGCCACTTTTGTTGCCGCCGTGGTAGCCTGAGACGGGACAATTTATAATCCGCCTGCCCACCCACACTGAGACCAGCTTTTCCACAGTAACGTTTACTTTACTTTAGGAACCAATCATAGAATATGTTCGGTATATATTTGACAAGTAAAACTTTTATCAGTCGTTCTGGTTGCTATTTAACAACTACATTTTATTGAACTTGAAAGTATAGTCATAAATTTAAAAGAAAATATTTTGCCACACCAGAAATTTAACAAGAGACTATGGTAGTAAAAAAAGTATTTATTTAGAAGCGATTCTCGTTCTTCTCGCTCGTTCTTTGTCAGAGAAATTCTGTTGAAGTTTTTTGTGCGCTTAGCTGGCAAAATCCTCATTGACCTTAGGAGGTGGGAGGGCGGGGCGCATGTCTGAAATTGCCTCCGTTTGACGGCATGGCACTGTTTTAGCCATGAGAAAACGTCCCGTACCAAGCCGGCCTGAGGGCGCTAGATCTGTCCTGTACGCTGACTTTGTCAGAAAAAAAGCAACCCCAACAAATTTACTCGGAGCCACATACAGTCTACTCTAATTTCTGCTCTATCGTCTGCAAATGTCGCCAACTGACAATACAGGTAGTTACGCCCTCCCACGTCTACCTGGCCGCCGCCACGAACAAATCAGCAAATCAACGCGTCTGGAGGACTCAAATTAAAGCAAAAGCTCAAATTGCTCAATAATCATCATCAAAACGATAAAAGTCTTCACCAAGTATAAAATCAATTTTTCCGATAATCATGTTTGGAAATATGCCATAACGTCACGTTTTGTAGTACGTGTATTTTGATTTTTAAATTACATAAAGCACGGCATGTTGGAAAACATGTTTGAAAACAAACTCCACATCTAATTAAAATCTAGCCATATCGATAGGGCCAGATAGTCAGCTATAGAAATTCAACGAGGTTTGGAAACATCATGATTGGGAAATTAATTACATGGAAATTTACCGAAGGTCCATAAACTAAGGTCATAATAACTTGAAAATTTCTGTATAACATGGACAAGAGGAACTCATTGATCTTTAAGATGTTTGAAAGTTTGAAAGAGTTAAAACTATTTTTCCGATCATATATAAAATCTTAGCCCTACTTAGATCTACTGATACTTGATCATACTTGTTTAGCCTGTGAGCGGCCCTGTAGGTGTATGACACGTATACATTTCGTTCCAAAAATGGGAAAAAGGGAAAGTATCACAAACTTTAAGCGTCGCAGTTCCTCCAGTGTGACAAAAATAAGTTGCGTTTCCAAATCAACAGATAGGAGCACATGGAGTCCGTACAGTTTTGTTAGAAATATCGATCTGGGACTGCGGCAAGCCTCAGCCTAAGGTGGGAGGGCGCGCGAGGACGCGGGAGAGAGGGGACTTACCCGAGTTCGGGGGGTCCTGGGAGGTTGGGCATTGCTCCAGACACTCGGGGGTTTCCGGATACTTAAGGCACAGTTCACAGCTGTGGATCTTCCCATTAGAATCTACAAAAGTCGCCATCTGAATCACTCTACAAGTAATAGAACCGGTACAAGTCTAAACTGAGCGATGAGTCAGCGTCTAGCGCGGTGGAACCACGTGGAGCGGAGATTTGGGAGCAAGTGCGGACTTGCCCCCATCGCTTGGGCGCGGGTCGTCATGGCGGCCATTCATAAAGTCCCACCATTGGTAGACATGCAGCCTGCTGACCCGGGACCGCCCATTCATCATAATGACTATAGTAGCTTTGTTGTTTTGACGTGTTCCATTTCATATGATGTGGAGAGGCCATGACCAGAGTTTATTAATTTCGAAAGCCCGGTCTACAGCGCGTGTACACTGTCCTTGTCCCTCAGGTTTGTAAGGTAAAGCAATATTTTCATGCTTGGCTGTTGCGTTGCATGTTCACTGCGTTTCCATCGATGTCATGTATATCAGGTCAGTCCGTGGAAGTTTAGTAGTAGGGAGAACCGCGGAGGAGCTAAGTTTTTGTAAATAAACGTTTGTTTACATCGACGCTTTGTTATGACGGGCCAAATCTGGGTCACGAAGCCGTAAGGCGGGAAATTTGAAGTTTGGCACGACCACGGTGGACTAGCCTGGATGCCAGATTGTTTGCTGGGGTGAAAGATTCGTGAAGCAGATCGGCTCCTCCGCTGGGGTGAAACAGATAGGAGCCAATCCCCACCCCCAAGAAATTTTACCTCAGAAAACAGCTCGTAATGCGCTAATATACAACTGACTACCCATTGCTGTCCATTCTGTTCTGGACGGGGCCGTTTGCCCGCCGACTTTGAACCTGCTCAGCTCAATACGGGCTTGTCTTATTACATCACAAGCACCCCCAGAGTAACGTGAAGCACAATAACTCAGGATTTACATGGTCACATGCAGGTATAACCAATCTAAACTAATATAAATCTAAACGCGCAAACGTGATCATCATTCACGGACAGCGGCTACTTCCAGAAATCAATCCCCACCATCAAGGGCGTAACGCCACCTTGATGGCTTCTAATAGTGTTATGTGCCTCGCCCATCACTGATGTATTCCTCTGCTGAGATAATTGTCAAGAATCGATACCCAAATCAAATGACTGGCCCTCACAAGTTCATTGCTGTAACACCGTAACACCTTACCCAGGAGTGACGAAGTTGTACGGTGCGAAAGGTTGGTGGAATTCTTTTTGTATCTTTTTCTTTTGATTTTAATCTCCAAGCAGATCCTACGGTGGCAAGGCAGTATCCATTGTCCAACCATTATGGCTTGGCCAATAAAGATCGACTTCCTTGCCACCGCAGGATCTGCTTGGCGATTAGTAGTTTTTTTTACTCCTCTTACTTTCTTCTTCTTTTTTTTTTGTAAAAAAAAGAACTAGACGCACCCCCTACGATAACTAATCAACGCTGAATATAGCTAATAGTCCTGGGTCATCCCCTATTCACAGCCTTTTAAACGTTCGACTTTGAAGTTCAGTCCGTGTTTGCCCGCGCCGTGGTGCTAACACTGAGTGATAGACCTGTGTAGAAGCTTGTGTCAGACAGACCAGTAGTTTACACTGAGTAAAGCTTATTTCGCACTTAGGCACGTTGTATAGAGGTAATAGCTGTAACGTTACATGGTGCATGGATGTCCAAAGCTCGCTATTCAGACCACAAAAATAGCCAGCCAAAGGTCACCTCTTCTGAAAAATTGAATTAACGCCTCTCCAGGCCATCCCACACTCTGAAATCACTACAAAAGTCTGAAGGATTTCTTTCGCACTATCATACACTTGAACTTTCCACAACTTTCTTTCAGCCGTCGTAACTGAAAAATCAATTTTCTGGTGACCTTCATAGAATTATGGCTCCCGAACATTTTGCAATGTGAAAAAGTGAGTCTTCGGATTATCACAATGATCAAGACCTTTACCAACAAACTATTATTTACAGATGAAACTCATGATATGCAATTGGCAGGGATTTGAAAAGTAACACTAATGTACAAATTGAAGAGCGTGTGTGCGTAATGGCGACCCCGTTTGTAAGTTATTAACTTCGCTCCTCAGACTGCTGGCAAATAAAGTTTTAACGTTAATAACTGTGAATATAGGTTTCTCCATGTTGAGGAATTTCTGTATGTAGTATGTTATCTCTGTTCAAGGACTGTTGAATAACGTGCCTTTCGGGGTTATGTCACAAGTAACGGCTGAAATTTACATTGCCGGTGTGGGGGCTAGAATCTTTGATATCGTTTTCTTGGGGCAACGTTCCGGCTTAATTTCTTATTTCCTGCAAGCTGCCTTCACGTTATTGACTGCGGACCGTGTTTCGTCCTGTGTTGTTGTGATAACTCGAGAGGAGGTAGAATAGAGCGGCGCGGGTGCCCTGTGGTAGGACAGGAGCTGGTGGCAATGACGTCACTGCCCGGAGACTTATGGGCGTGGCTACAGTCGATGATTGACAGGCTCGCTGCACAACCTTCGGGACTGATGGAACCTGGAAGGAGCGGTGATGTGCCCTCATTTTACTACGTAATAAACTATTCATCCCGGACAAGATTAGGATAGAACCGGCTTTTGTAGGATCAGCCACAAGCAATTTGGTCGTCCAAATCTGCGTCACTGTTGCATATAGACGATCCGGACCGAAGTAAGATAAAGTTTTTTCTTCTCTCTTATGTCAGTTTGGTACTTAGTGTTCTGACTGTGATTTATCCGTGCCTATAGCCTCTTGTGAATAGTCTATCTGTGGTTATCCCAGGATTCAGTAGTCAATATAAGCCCTGGGGAGACCGTATGTAGGAGATATCATGAGTACGTCACTGAAGTCTGTTCCGCCCCCGGTGGCGATTTACAATCGGATTTTGCCTCCATGTTTTGGCAAACAAGTTCATCAAGTTCGAAACGGAATCGCTTCCAGGTATAAATCCACTTTCTTCCCATCCCCAACCTTGTCCCGAACGGGGACCCTATTAAAGTCACATCCTATGCTAACGACATTTGTCTATAACCGACTGGCGAGGCTCTAGTAGCTTTTACGGCAATTGACCGTCGTTAAGGGCCAATTATCGGGCCTCTACCCAAGCTGGTCCCCGTAGGCACGGCGACGTGTGCGATAGAGTGTATGACTCCCGTCCCGGCATGTCTGGGGGAGAATTTGATCCTGACCTTTTCTTAAGCGCCCCGTGTCCTGACATACGGGCGTTTGGGACTATTAAATCCCAACCTTCCCTCCCGATATCCGATAGGAGATAGATGGCCGTCCAACGGCTATAGCGCTATCTCAAACCACATTAGGATGTGCCAGAAGGGTACTTCAGACTCATCTGTTACTTACTATTGTCCTGAAGTCATGTCCGAGACGCTCGTAAACGTAAGCCACACCTGTATAAATATGATTGCCCAGCACTTCTACAGCACATATCTGCCCGACCGCTGAAAGCTACAGGTAGGCAAGTTAGAATTGTTTCTTTCGCAACGTTGTCGCAATGCGATTTCATCGGACATTCGCTGCTGCTGCTGCCGCTTTTTGTGTCGGAGGGCCACGGTAACTGTAGTCAGTCAGCTTTCGTGCTTTTGCCATGTTTTGAATTTCTGAAAATATGCTATTTTTAGCAGATTAACATTACTTTTAATGAAAAAGAAAATACAGTCTTTAGTAGAGTGCTTTACTGGTACACATGTTAATTAGCAGTGCGTTTTAGAAATGTCGTTTTTTTCAACGCTACAGCTGAAATGCTCTTTTCACAACAAACACAAACAGAAGGCCCAATTTTCATTTTGAAAGTTTCTAATTTCGTGTATCAGCAAGCTCTATGCGAATCAAGTTATGCCAGTTCTGGGCATTGCGTAACGATGCAAATGGGACTGCTAGTGCATCTTGGTAAATGCTGCGACCATCACCATGGTTCTGTGCGCATTAGTGTAGTACTAGTGTGTAATCGTTGTATTATTCGTCTCCATCACAGCTTCTCAGATTCGCTGTGCACACAGGGTGGGCACTGAGCTGTACGTGTATTTATAGCCGTCAACTCTGCAGGTTATTGATATAATACGCACGTTGTATGTTGCCGCCAGCAGTTCGCTAAGTCATATAAATGATAGAGCCTTCTCTTTTTTATCCACTTAAAATTGTGTCACCAGGATGCCTGGATCTACTTTGGAAACAACCCCTCAACGTTTTATCTGCACATGCTGAGAAAATAACTAACCAGCGCGCCCTACTTGTGAAAATCAATGGCATATATCATGGCAGTCCTTCTTTTATCCATCATTAACTTTTACTGCAATTCGCTCCGGGAATTCATGGAAAACGAAAGTGAGAACTTCCCTCTTTGCACACAACTGCACCAAAGCAGTTCCTGCCGCCAACTTGATGGGGACACAAACCCCACACAGGCATGCTCAGGTGCTTTTGTCAGGGAAAAGGGCAAGAAGAGGGGAAAGATCTGAAAGCTGCAAAGTACCCTGAGAATAGGATTGATGGAGTTCTGCTGTGACCCTTCCACGAATAGAACTTACTGCTCCGCTTCAGTCGCTTCTCGCTTGGTACAGAGCTTGAGCGGGAACGTTGAGCTTCTACCGAGCCAGTTTATGAATTAATGGCCTAAGAACAGCATTGATTATTTTCCCCAGCGCATGTATACTTGGTAAACCGCGATGACTGAAGAAGTGAAGAAAGAGTCACATAATGTCAGGCAGTTGCAAACAGCTTTTGTGCCAAGTAGAAGATTGAGATAGTCCAGCTATCTGGTAGGTGTTTTCTTCGCTTATGAGAATCAAAAGCGAGTCCAGTTCAGCACACGTGCAGTGAGTTTGTATTTCATGATTCATGAGAAAATTTCAAGGACGTTCTTGGTCATATCTATAAGTTTCCGAAGCGCAGGCCTTGGCAAAGATGAAAATCCGACAACACATTGGGCAACGAAACAGGCAACTTCACTGGAATGTGTTAAACGCTTACCAGCTTTCGACAGCAGGATAACCATGATGTATAACAGCTGTAATAAAGAAACACCATGTGCACATTTCGATATGAACCTCTTTATTCCCTACCGTCCTATTCCACAAATTCATCATTTTTGGAATGTCTATGTCTATGGAATGCCTCTGACGAAAGCTAGTGGATACTAGCTGACACGTCTGACCGTTTCCAAAATCATATCCAGTTGCTTGAGTAACTGCTTTTTGGCACGTCTATGTCCTTGATTCGATGGCGAATCTTTCATATAAATCATTCATTTTAGTCCGCAACAATGCAGGATATCCTCATCACCTCTGATAGGTAACGTGTGGTTTGATATGTAATACGTGTTATTATATAGGTACATACGCGTCACCATCATGTTACATAATTAATGAGGTTTGAATTTTTTTATTTATTTATTATTACTAGTATTTTACCGTGCAGACACTTAATATATTAATCATGTGCTGTTTTTGTCAATCAAATGTCGATATTTTACCTGATATACCTGATACTGTAGTATTAATGCACGGACGAAAAAATCAAAATAAAAGCCGCTCAGAGCAGGAGGCCAATTTTTGTGACCTAAATATTAATATGCAGCTTTTCCAGCAACGATTCCTCCTTCGCCCATTAAGAAAAGTCTTTCATCTATTTTCTTTGACACAAGTTGACTACTGGGAAACGGTAGTAGATCCGGGTAGAGCCACGACACTCCCACGCCGTACATTCATTAAATACCCCACGGCTGACAGGTCGATATTCCGCTGATTGTTTCATGTCACCTAACGTCGCTCGCGTACAACACTGTTACGTCTATGCGAATCCGACAGAGGGAAAGCCACCCACACACCGGATATATTAGTCAGATTAGTTGGGAGTTTTAGACATTAGAGAAAAACGTTGCTCTTTTATCTGTGAGATTTATTACAAGAAACTGGCAATCGATGGAAATGATTGTAGTAAGTTGGTGATATATTATGAACAATCTTCGGTCGAATTATATATATATATAGTTGATTACTAGGTGTAGAGATCGCCGAATTTCAAAATCGCCAAAGAATCAAGTAGTTCTTTTTTCCCCGAAAATCTACCGTGTTGCTTTTCAATCCTTGTCCTTGGCTGTCTCACGGCATTGAACCTGTAGGTAAGCGATACGGTGAGACCGTTTCTCTCTCGGGAAGGTCCTGTCATCTTCTGCTTACCTAACCTATGTGACGCGTTTACTTGATGATAGAGGAGCGGCTAGCCAGCTATCTGATTGATTTCGACCATTTCATGGAGCGTACACATCATAATTGTGAAGAATGAAGATGTTTCAACTATCTGTTTGTCTGTTTGTTAGCCAGTGTTACGTTCTTGTAAATCTCATATTTCTAGGATTTGTTGCTTACTTTCGTTTTCGCAGTTATCATCAATATTCCCGTACATAAATGTTTTGTTTCTGTTGGTACTAATGCTAGTATTATATAACGTGAAACAGGATTTGACAGGATCATGCGGGTATATGTAACCGTTACAAAACAACGGGCAGCCTTACAGTCTACAGAGTGAGGCCACCGGTAGCGCGCAGTTGAACTTGTTGCTCGGAATGAACAGGTGGCTTTTAATGACAAATAGAGGAGCCCAGATTAAAGCCGCGCGGATAAGTGGAGTTTCGTTTCGTCTTTCCATCTTTGATATACCGGTCTCCAAGAGAGCTTTGAAACGCACAACTCTTCGAAAGTACGGATCATGGTCTCCACAGTGTATTATGTGCAATAATCTACCCCATAAAAGTTACAATCTCTGCATTCACACCGCCTCCTGTCCACTGGGCAACAAGGCCCAGGTTTAATGTTGTGACGTGCGGACAAATGTTGCTAAGTATGAAGGAACCCTAGCGACGGTAATCTAGTGCCATAGAATCCATTACCCTCATCAATTCCTGGCTCATGATCGTGACGCTTCGGCCATGGACCAATCCAACATCAAAACCATTTCCGAGGTTGCACAATATATGATGGTTGAAGGATTTGGAGAGTTTATCCAAAGAACGGAGGTACAGTTCTGTCGTTCCTCAACTTAACGTGAGTCCGCGTGACAGGTACTTCAGTCGGAGTCAGACTAATGAATCAGATTCAAGCTAAATGTTCCACAAAATCCACGCCATTAGACACCTTTTAACGGCTGGACTGAAAAGCAATTAGCAGGACTCATTGATATCAGACTGAGAAAAAAGAATGTTACCATTCCACATCACTGACTTTAAAATTTTCTTCAATAGGTTCGTTATAACGGTACTGCCCACACAGGAAATTGTGATGTTCTTCGTCAGAGTGCCCACATAATTCCCCCGCAGTTTCTAAAGTCTAGAAGGACAGTAGCTTTAATCACTCCATCATACATGAATGGAGGCGCATTATCAGAGGAGACATGCGCACGTTGCACGGTTCGTTTAGCTGATAATGCACCGCGGCGGCGCAAAACGCCCAGTTGTTGCTATAAAAGACGAAGTGCCGGCTTGAGACGGTATCACACCTGTTTCTCTTGTATCCCCGCTCAGTACGACCGTTCGAGAGAAAGAGAGAGATGGCGCTACCGACTCAGCTCTTCATCCTCGTCGCCTCCGCCTGCCTTCTCCCACACGCCGCGGTAGCCTTGCCGGTATCCTCCGCGTACTGGGAACAAGACAACGATGCCTTGGGCTTCGGCCAAGACCCACCCGTCAGACAGGGCAGTCTGGGGGTTCCTCTCCACATAGCCTCACTGTCCGGCCTCCGTGGCCTGCCTGATGTTCGGGAGGTCAGCAGACGGGTCCCCTCCTACAACTTTCCCTTCAGGACGTCGGTCGGCAGATACGGGAAGAGGGGCGAGACGTCTCGGCTCAGCGACGCGGACTCCGACGGCGAGGACTTCACGGTGACGTTACCGGCCTTTCCCGGGCTCTTCGGCCTGGACAACACCACCCCGTACGACCGGCAGGACGGCGGGCGAGCCGGGGACTGGTCCGGGGGACACGTCGACCAACTCCCGCTGCCTCAGCACCCGAAAAGGGCCGAGTTCCATTATCGCACCAACTCCAGCAGATACGGCAGGAGGAAGAGATCCGCGCAGTAGAGTAAGAAGATCCCGTTCTTTATCGCATCACACTTCCACTGTGCGGAAAAGGGCAGCCAACGTACGTCCAACCATTTCATCTTGACTTTCTCTCTGACACTCCTAGTCGTTCATTATGATTACGTAGAACACTCCACACCTTTCCCCTCTCTATACTTCTTTCTGGATGATATCTACAATGTAGTTTGGACCGGAAAACTTTGGAACTGCACAGGAAAATGAAGTGAACGTTGGTTGTTGTGACCAGTGTAACATCTTTACTTTAGGACATACCATCTGCGGCATATTATAACTGTCGGTGGTGCGACACGGCGGTGGCTTTCGTGTCTGATGTGTTGTCAGGAATTAAAGCTAACGATACATGAGTTACCACGTCTTCTTGTCCTTATTGGTTAGGGATTTTGATGATTCATAAGAAAGAGATTTGTCCGTAGATTAGTCTCTACCAAACCCCAACAAGTAGTTGCTAGAAGAATGGTAGAATTGGCCAAATAGACTGTATGATATGATAAAAGACATAGCTGACCACTTGAGTACAATTTGAAAAGTGTACCCTATGGCCGGCTAACTCCTATGGCAAATCATTCTGTCTATTCAGCAAAATATACTATTTTCAGGCAACCCAGGTCTGGTGGAGACAATTGTAGATAGCGGCGCAAAAGAAGATGTCATGTAAAGACGATTAGTATGAACATCTTCAGATCTCCTCCATGTCAAATCAGCTATAATAGCCTGGCCATTCCTCATAATCTTAATGTGTGCCGTCTCTGATAAAAAAATCATACCACCGTGCCTTTTGAATCTGACGCTTGAAATATCGTTTAATCGTCTTTCTATCCATCTTTCATATCGATATCTCAATATTGTATCTATCGCATTTGCTCTGTGGCATTTTCAAACCTGTGATTCAGTATGTCACCGCTCGGAGCCATCCATCCGTTATAGTTGAAGATGTAAAGCGGCTCCGTCAAAAGCAGTATTTTGTGAAACCCGCTAAAGACAATTCATTAACGTACTCATTATTGTTAAGGCGGAAAACGCTTAAATCTGTTTCCGAAAAAGCGTCATTCTGAGAACAAACGCTTTATTTTGTACCCAATTTCTTTGCAATTTTGTACCCGATTTCTTTGTAATTTGTCATGTCAAAATGTTGAGTACGAAGTTTGGCGACAGTTGCCATCCCTCGAGTCGTATGAAGTCTTGATTTCTGTGGTGATATATAGTCTCCACCAGGCCTTCCTAAGGGGTTATGGATTGTAGAATTCGGCAAGAATACGGTCAATAATCAGCCAGGGGAGTGCACGTGAGCCGCGTTAAGGGTAACATTTCCACTAAACTGTGCGGGAAGCAAACTCCCCTGGCGAATTTTCCCTTTAGCCAGCGTAGTTAGTCTAGCAGAGATTAGAGGGGGAACTTTTCCATCTCAATCAGACGATAAAATGAAGCAACAATTACTTCACATTGACTATGGACATTTATTTTGTACCAGACGTTCTAGCAACGTGGCAATCAGAACTGCTATCACAGCGTACAGTATGGTATGTGCCCAAATCTTCTGATACAATATACTGATCAGACGGCATTTTCAATCTAATAGCAGAATAAATTTTACTGACGATGTTACAAAGAGTGCACGATTAGTGATAATTACAACCATTTATAGACATTAAAATTTTACCATATTGCACACGGTCACACTGAAGACGATTAGTTAGCATTACGTGGGTCCTAACGACTCACTACAACTAAATTGGTCAAAACGCGTACAAACATGGATTAGCTTTTCAGTCGACGTCACAATTACCGAGTCGTTAAAAGTTCCCAAGACGAAGAGTAAACTGTAAAAGTAGTCTGCTGAAATTACTGGAAAATCCACATGGCCATATACTATGTACAAGGAAATGTCCATGTCTTTAAAATGTTGACATATCGTATTGTTGCATTCTGTTAAACATAAATTCATAGCTATTACCACACGACAAATGATGTTGAAGTCCGACTGACTACCAGTAGCCTGCTATAAGTTACCGGAAAATCAACATTTCATTACTATGTACAAGGAAAATTCTAAACATTTACTGTACAAGGAAATTTCTTTAAAATGACAACATATCATAACGTTACATCCCGTAGTAAATTCTCCAGTACTGTGCACGCAGTGGCACGCCCAATGCTAGACCACGCTGTGGTAGACTAATGCAGCGTCTGAAACTCTAAATGTACCATAAAATTCTCATGACAATTTACTGTACAAGAAAGACACTAACGTTATTTCTTTTTAAAAATGTCGTAACGTTCATCCCGTAATCTGTTAGCTATTGCTGTCTACACACGGCCTCCGGATGTTAGACCGCGCCGCTGTAGCCTGATTGACTGATGTATTCCCGGGCCGCGGCTTCCGTCAGGGCCTGGAGGAAGTTCCAGGGGTTCCGCATTTTCTGGTAACAGTCTTTCCGCAGGTTGTCCACGGCCTGGGGGGAGACAGCAAGTTTTAGGATCGAGCGTTTGAACTTTAATTGCCATAACTGTCAATAATTGGCATTCCACGAATATCTATTAGCAGATTTCTCGACCAGACTCCAAATGCTTAAAATTTGGCCTAATGGGGCGTTGCAAAGTGTACTCCTATGGTCTTTTAAATTCTTCATTATTCAGTCTTCTTAGCCAGTTTCTACTATATTTTCAGCAATCCATTTTAGTCTGGTAGAGACCATGCAGCTAACCTGTACATTTGAGCACTTTGTTCAACAATAGCCTTCTAGTGAAAACAAGACGAACACAAAGCAATGCAACCCTGCGCTTCTCGAGTTAGCCGGTGAATTTTGCACAGAGTAAGAAAGATTAACATACGTAGTATATGATCGGGGAGCGAGGATAACTTTCGTTGTTTCCCTGTCCTTGGTGCTGATTGGATTTCGCGACCTACCAATTTTGGGCAATACTCCGTGTACGATTGGGAAAAACATGAAGGCAGTCACAAATATCTATTTTCAACTTTCCAGTGCATGCATGCAGTTCGTTAGAACTGTTGCTTTTAAAACACGACCATGTTTCAAATCTCTCTGAGCATTAGTTGGGACTGTAATAAGCTGGAACTCGGCCGTTGGGTTCATTCTAACCTATTTGAGATTCACGAACTTTAGGTTTTTCCTGCCGACAGTGCCGTATGTTGTACGGTATTTTGTTAACCCAACTTCCCTCTGGGTCACTCAACAAGTCATTAAAATTTAGTACCAGTACGTAAGAAGGGCATCAAGCAGAGACGGCCGCATACTTAGTAATAAATATGCCCCCACTGCTGCCCAGAAAAGCGCATACAATGCCCCAAGTTTATCATACATATTACAGAGAGAATATGGGTTGGCTTAAGAATTGATCCGTAAGGAAGTAGTGGATCAGAGGTCTGCTTGTGTTTTATGATCATCCATGCCCCCATCAACCACCCCACGCACACGACTCCGTAATCACTCCGCCCGGGCGGACTGCAGGCCGCTGTCACACCGGGACGTCCGTCATTACGGCCCGCCCCGGCGGCGGGAGGGGATCGGTCCTGATTCACACATAAGCAGGGATAAAGTACGCCCCGCAAGGACTGCAATCTTCGTGTGGACTGCGGGTGAAATTGTGTCAGTCAGAGAAGTTGATTCCGCCTGGCCATGCGGAGTGATTCTTTGGTGTCGCAGTGACTCAGTATGGGGGGTAGATGGATGGATGGACGGACGGACGGGTGGATGGATAGATGGATGGATGGACGGACGGATGGAAGGACGGGTGGATGGATGGATGGATGGATGGGTGGATGGATGGATGGATGGATGGATGGATGGATGGATGGATGGATGGATGGATGGACGGATGGAAGGACGGGTGGATGGATGGATGGGTGGATGGATAAAGCATAAATTGAATGGTGATGGAGGGATACGGGGAAAGGGTGATATAGGGAAGAATTGAGGGAGAAAGGAAGAAAATAAGATTTTTAACAAGTACAGAAGCTGCCTTGCCTTGCTCATGACCCTGGGCGGCTGCTGGCTGAGGTAGGTGAGTATGTGATCGTGCTCCATGTCCAGCATGGCGGGGTGGTTCTCCAGCACAGCGCGCAGTCTCTGCCACGTCAGCGGGGGGATGGACGAGAACCGCCGCCGCAGCTCCTGCAGCTGCCCGTGCTGCTCGGCCGTCAGCCGGGGCTGGCCTGGGGAGGGCCGGTTCGAAATGGGAACTTAAGTCTATCACTGATACTCACATAAAACGCATTTTATATTTCAAATGATTGTCAGTTAAGTGTAATGACCTCCATATCTTGTTTTTTTTACTGTCAATTCAAGAACAAATCGGACTGAATTTCGAAAAAAACCTGCAAAGTGGTGTCTGAAGAAAGTTTCAAAGTTTTGACATAGCAAACAACATCAATACTCAGCATCTACAGTAAAAACAACTACAATGCGTCGTAGAACATTGACACACATACCCGACTTCCTTGTTCCCTTTCTTTGGCAATCCTCTGTTGTCCTGACGCTTTGTACTGTCTCCGAGTTCGATTCATCTGTGTCCTTCTCCGCCCCCGATGTGCACGTGAGGGACGCTGGCTTCTCACTTGTTTCCTGTTGGCTCCTGGTGATCACTGGAGTTTGCAACTTTGCGATGCCATCGTCTGTAGTACACTCTGTCGAAGTTGTTTCGTTTTCATAGGTTTTCTTGGCAGTGTCAGAAAGTGTAACGGTTTTTAAGATATAGATAGTGTCTTCTTTGGTCCTAGAAGGACAGTCCTTACTTTCTGTGTCGTCTTCATGTGAGCCATTTACATGTACTGCCTTTGCTGGAGTTCTACACTCTGTCGAAGAAGGTGTTTCGCGTTCGCGTTCACTGGGTTTCTTGGCAGTGCCTTTTTCAGGGCGTTTGGCGGCTTTTACGGTTATGTCTTTTTTGGTCCTAGGGTCTTTGTTTTCTGTGTCGTTCTGATACGAACTATTCAGTGTTTCGGCTGGAGATACTGCCTTTGTGGTAGGCACCGCCTGTTGTCTCCTGTCCAAGCTAGCTCTATCCGGGCTAGGAGACCGCCGTGCCTCTGCCCATGCGGTGTCCTGGTCCGCGGAGTCGTCCGACTGGCTGTCCCGTTCCTCCAGCTCGATGATGTCCGCCCACGACATCCGTCCGTCCGTCCGTGCGTTCTTCTCGGAGAGGTCGGAGCTCTCAGACTTCAGCTCATTCAGACCTTTTCGCGGCATCTTCTTTTTCTTCTTCTTCTTCTCGCCGATGCCGTTTTCCTTCCTCCATCTCTTGTAGTCATCTAGAAGCCAAAAGAATATATCATGAGCATCTGAACAGCGTGTAGAAGTAAAACCACTCTCTTTCCATACATATGGGAGGCACTTTCTAACAGAAACGGGTCGCTCGGAAACCGTAATGATTTTGCCAGCCATCATTTGCTTGGAGATTGATAAATTTGTCATCTGAGAAAACTTTTCATCATGTCCAAAATATTTTATTCAAAACCCCATTACTGTCCCCAATTGCAGGTAACATGATAACCTCATAAAGAACAAACAGGATTCTTAATGAGAACTAAATGACGATGTCTCTGGAGGCGAGATGTGACGTGTGTACTAAATTTGTAGTAGATGATTATTTATCAATATCCAATCGGATATGACGTTTCTTTCCGCTTTGTTAGTCTGCATTCGTTTGTTAACGACCACGTCACGAGTTCTTTTGAAAACTTGGGGAATGATCGTCGTGACGTCATGACCCGGTGGAATCAGCAGGAGTGTCCCGGATGGGCGAGTATGACGCACACACCGCCGCCGGAGGAGCCTCTCTCTCCTCAACCCTCCTCCAGATTCACGGTCCAAATTGGACGGAAAATATACCAGGGGAGTAATTCGGCCACGCGGTGCTTCTTCCTGGAAATTTCCAACCTATACTTCCTGTTCAATCGGTCCCGAGAGTGCTGCCGCGGACACCAGTTTGATTACGCTGATATTAGACTGAGTGGAGTATAGTCTAAAAAAGAGAAGTCAAACCCCTTAGACATAAGGGCAACATTTGTTTGGGGGGGATTTCAGACACGCAGGCGACAAATAAAAAGTACCACGAAACTTTCGGCGGAAGGTCAACAAAGGTCCTCTGCTTGGATTTTCTGCTATCGGCAGCGTCTGTATCCTAGCTGGATATTCGGTACTGTCCAAGCAGAGGTTTGGGTTATTGGTTGGCGTGTTTTTTTTATCGGGCTTACTTTTTGCACTGGTTGGCGTAAAAAAGATACCGGTGCAAAAAAGAAAACCCGATAAAAAAAGCCTAAAACACGCCAAAAACAAGCCAAAACCTAAAACTCTGCTTGGAGAGTAGATATTCGGTACGTGTGAGAAAAAGGTCGGCAACACACGACCGCCACGGCTAACAACTGGGTGGCAAATCATCAAGGGTGATAACCATGAATAACGGGACGTGTTCTCCGCCTTTGTTGTTTTAACTGATCACCGATTGCGTACTAAGTACACTTGCTGCCAGAGTCAATTAACAACTTTTTCTTGTAAGGAAAATGACACCTACTTTATAGGCGGTAATCGCGAATTGTGTGTCACCGCCGTATTTCTGTGTATTAATCTCAACTTACAACTTTGACCAGCCCGTTCCCGGTTGGGCCACCGTATTGGCTACGGCAGTATATTATATTACTAGTATATACAAGGAGGTTAAATACCTCCTTGGTATATACTAGTGTCTTTTCCCAGAAGAAATCTGCTTGGAGATGAAGTTTTGTGTGAAAGGGCTCAAAGTCATTCACCAAATTAGTTTTTCTATGGGCCTTCATGAATTCCATGACGTCATGAATTGCGCTTGCAATGCATTAAGAACTCATGACGTATTATCTTTGTACGTACAATGTACAAGGATGTTTCATTAAACCCCATTGAAGATATCAGTAACTTTATGACGTTAAATGGACTGGAAAGATTCCGACAACTGCAAGCTGCTGTCAGTATCAGCGGTTGACCGGTCACGCTGCTCACAACATTTGCATGAAGATCGCATTACCATGCATTTTCCACCGGGAGAACAGCTGGCCTTTACTTACCACAGCGGGGGTTTCCATAGAAACGAGTAAATACCATCGGAATTCCAACAAATACATCTTACGGAATGTTAAATTTTACTTTCAACCAAAAGTGAACCTTTTTATTCACAATATTTACAAAGCGCAGTATACAACATTTTCAGACTACTTTATATATTGTTGAAGCCACACTTTTATTGAGATGAGAAAGACCCCAAAAAGCTGTAGGAATTTGACCACCTTTGGATGTAAATAGTACAGCTTTACCAACCACCTCGAGAGCTCTCGGTTATCTGAAATGAAATCCAACGCGAGCCAAGCCCTCTGTGATAGTTTGTTTAAACATGTCACTATAACAACAAGGCCTTATGGAGAGATAATCTCCTTGCTCATGACATAGAACATGTGCACGTTTTGGATGGCCCGATAGATAATCTTTTCTCACGTGTACAGTAGAAATCGTCACCAAAATGCCTTTCTCGACTCCAAAATGTGAGATATCAGAGCTAGCCGGACAGGAAATGCCCAGGCTAGACAGGAAAACCGTTGGTTTACAAACACGGTTTTTCTTGTTTATACAAACACTTCCTTTGGGTGAACCACTCCTTACATGCACTCATGTTCTTTGTTCATAGAGCAGATTTATTCGAAAGTTTTCTTCAACTGAACGGTAATCCAGCTTGGAAAGGAAAGATTTTCACAATGTGTCTCTGTGCCAATCAGAGACAGGCACTAAAGTTGAGCAGCATGGATCCAAAACCAGAAAAGAGAGCGCTGGTCACAGACAAAGGACTCAGAACTGACCTTCTGTAACAATAGCCTGTAGCATGTCGGTAACCGTCATGTTGTGTGAGAGTTCTGGAGGGTGGTCTGCCTGCATGGACTGGGTACAAGAGTGTTGGAACGTCAGGACAACTCCGCCCAGGTTCGGTGAACTTCCTCACGAACAGAAGTCGGTTGTTGTTATTTACGTACCCGAGATGAACAATAGGTCCTGAGTGCCGATCAACTGGTGGAGAACGCATGCGCACAACTTGTCTGGTTGTTGTCTGACCGCTTTTGAATTCCCATGGTTGAATTACAGAACCTCATCGGCTAGACAAAACAAAGGCTCTACCAACTGCAAATTACGAGTAATTAACGTCATTAACCAGGTTTTATATCTTCCGCTAATTATCAAGACAACAAAATTATCAAAAGTTGTCGTCCTATCAATTCCAGGTTCTTCATTACTAGACTAAACCAAGAACTTCCTTGACTAAAGTAAAATTAAAAGTATGACATCCAATGTAGACAGGTTACATTGACTCAGTTTGACTGCCAACCAAGCAGATGTTAGAAGGACAGATATGACAGACAAACCAGAAAACGTTTCTTATTTTATCCTATACTGATAAAGAAGGCCTTCCAACAAGGTCCCATAAGGGACACCACATCCAGGAGGTCAGAAAGTGCAGGTGCGTAGCTAATAGGTTTCGGAGAATATTACGACTTTTCTCCCAACTTCGTCCTAGTTATACATATTAAAGGTAAATTGGCACTCCAGGAGCATACTACACAGCGCCTGACCGCACTTAAGTGTTGCATTTTCCTGAACAGTGTATTGATTTATTGCCTTTCCGGATCTATTGGAATGTTACATTTGGGAGACACGCCAACCAAGAATCATCATCCAATGACGTCAAGCTGCTGAAAGGCGATTCACAGCAGGTCAGGCGGTCAGCGAAGTGTCCGGGAGGAGTATGTAATGAAAGAACCGGACATAAATGTGCCATGAAGGTGTACTAAAGGTCCCTTCGGCTAGTCTCTGTATGAGAGAAAACCTTCTCACCTTTCTGATGATAATTTGTGACAAAGGAATCAGGCAATAATAACAAACAGACTGTAAACATTGTCCCATTCTCCAAGAGTTTGTTTATTAACTGTATACATATACTAAAGTACTTGTACACATCACCAAGATGAAAAAGCTGTAACGTTTTGAACTCAACACATGCAGTTTGACCAGTACTATGAGATATCAGAATTATGTACCTACATAGTTAAAGTATAATAATGTATTAACTATCGGTTGAATCAAAGTTCAAAGATGCACAACTACCTGTAAAATGTTGATATTCTTTGGTCATGTCTTGCCTTGACAAGGCTTCCTTGACTTCTGTTGGTAACCTGAAATTGTACAGTATACTAGCATGCTAATAAATACCAATGTCTCAGAAGGGCGTAGGCTCTTAAGTTGTAAAAAAAATTGCATTTTGAATGGCAAATGCTTATACAAAACCTGCAGTCAAAAATATATACATGCCAATAACTCCAATAGTTGATTCATTCATTAAAATAATTTGTTCTTGCAATGAGTATATGATTTACCAATTTATATCAATGCAATACTCAAGCAATTCCTCTTGAATTTGTTTAGTCTTTTAACATTACCATCCTTGTGATTTCCACCATCATATTATGTACATTGAAAACTGTGAACAGGAAAAACATCTCTATGTGTAATGCCATACCTCTCAGTCTGACTTTACACAACATTTCCTTTTGTACATGCATCAGTACAAGCAAAACTCTGCACAAAATAAGGTTTGGTACCATTCTAGAGACTTCAAGTAAAGGTGTAAATAAAAATCATTCCTTCCTTTTAAGTACACTCACCAACATATACAAATGATATACATGTAATGATATGACAGGTCCACATTGTTTTGTTGAAATGCGTTGCTAAGAAGTGCTTATAATTTAGTACAAAACATGTACATTGTAATTCTATCTATCTATATGTACATGTACAGTAGCAAAGCTTTGGTACCACCTTCACCTACATTTCAAGTTTTGAACCCAAGTTTTCATGTACATGTACTTTCAGAATCAGACGGAAAGTTTGGAGTGTAATTCCACAGATGGACTATTAAGCTGCCTGATATAAGCAACATCACCAAAGTACATAACCATCCCTAATATAACACAAACATCACTAACGAATGTACCACACAGACCTAATTACACTTTATATGCCATCAGCTCTCTGTTTGGACTATTGCAGAATCATCATTTGGAAATCATGTCTGATCACGTAGGTAAAGAGTTTGTTGTTGTTAAGCAGATGCATGTAATTACAAGTCACTTCTCTGGGGATGTGCGTAGTGGCAGAGGTTATTTTCACACTAATGACAGTAGCAAATTAGTATTAAAGACTCCAGTCCGTTCTGAAAATAACTGATTGCCAGCCTTGGTCAAACAAGCAAACTTTTCATTCCAGTGGCAGTAAGGAACATCCACATACATGCATCTAATGTGATGGGTTGAGGGTGAAGGCAATTAAATGACCACAAGCTAAGAAGTGGAAAAGTTGAGAGGTGAGATAAATCATGATATGTGCATAAATATGAAGCATTCTGCTGACAAGCTATCTTTCTTTGGCCAAAATGTGACAAATGTGGGGATCTTTTACAGAGCACTTGTCAAACAGTAAAACAGCCATTTCTTCCCATGTTGTTCAATTTTCAACTCTCATCCATAGTCCCTTTGGACAAGGACAAGGCTTTCCCATGCAGGGTTTCCAATAGAAGGTGTGTAATGATCCAGTAGTGTTGACGCATCTCTAATAGCCCTGCTCACTCCTGTATATCCTGCTGATACCACCTAGCCTTAACAGCGGCAGAGCGGTGACTTCTATCGCCCTGCTAGCAACTACCTCAATGTGAAACAAGTTTTAAAAGGTGTTCACATCAGAGTTCTTGTTGATGATCTTGTCAACATACTTCAAAATACAACAATAAAAATGTACAAGAGAAACTGTAGGTAATTGGAAACAAAACCTGCAGGAGATCTTAGGACTAACTGTGAATGACTGCCACTTGGGTCATATTTAGCAACTACAAATACTGTGAGCTTTGATGATTAAGGTCTTGTATGTAAAATGCTGATACATGTAACATGGTCCACATGCTACACTTAATAAGTACGAAGAATATAATACAACTAGTGCAGCTTGCTGTACCTATTTAAGAAAACAGAAGACATGGATGTAATTTTTTATGAGATTCTACAGGCTACAACAGCAGCAGTTGTATAAGATGAGGAGGAACATTGCTTATTGCACGTGACGTCACACCACCTCCATGATCCGTCTGGGGGCAGGGGTGGGTCTACGGATGGTTGGCATGACAACGTCTGAGTCTGAGTCGCTGGCATTACTAGGGGAGGCCGTACGCACGTCAGCAGCAGACTCCGATGACCGAGACCCGAGGGACGAGCGGCTAGGAACCGGTGGGTCCTGTGGGGGAAAGGACAGTCCATTGTGAGAAGTGAGGAGGGGTCATGAAAACATCACTCCAGATTTGGTTAAACCAAGGAGGTTAAATTCAAGATGAACCTCCTTGGTTAAACTAAGCTGAAAAGACAATTCCTTATGATGTCAGAACTTTGAAAGCAGGTGTTTTTTCCTTACGACATTTTCATTGCAGTCAATGTTTAGTAGACTGCACTTGTGAAAATGGAAGAGCTGTGGTTCACTCAACCAACATTTCTCCAATCTGTTTTGATTTTCTTTTCCATTGCATTTGACGGATGACAGGCAGTTATTTGAGGTGGTGTGTGAATGAGCTTGTTATATGTAATACATCTGCCAATTTGGTCAGTTAAAAATATTGACAAACACTGCAAGCAAGGTCATAGTAATTGCCACACTTGGCACCTGCTATATCATCGTATGAGCCTAGATGCTATCTATTACAGTGACATCTATCATTCTACATTTTATCTCTAAATTAACAAATTTCTCAAACTGAAATTCTTTTAGTACAAGTGCCAAGGTCTGTGCTACTCTACATGTTGGAAAGAGCCTACAGTCTGGTAACAGAAAACCAAACAACACTAGAAAGAAGTAACAGCAGCTTGAGAGTTTGAATCATTAGAACTAGTTTGTTAGAGACAGCAAGAAGAGAGGAAAAGGTCCATACCCTCACCCTGTCACCGGAGGCAGTGCTCCTTAAACTCCCTGGGACAAAAGAGTCAAGCGAATACATTACAGTGTGCAATTAAACAAAAAGTCTCAGTGTGCAAATAGACAAATCATCAGTGCAAGTGAACAAGACAAATTGTGGTGAAACTCTTTGGTAAACTGGTGAAACAAAGGCACATCAGTGGGACTAGAGAGAAACCGAAATGTCTGAAGAATGAAGACAAATTGATCTAACTTCATGTAGGGGTTTTCAATAATGAATGCACCTTTCATTACGGCACCTGACCTGCCATGAACCACACATTAAAACAACGTAATCCCCCCATTGGGGCCACTCAACTGCCTGGCCTACCTCAGGAATAGAGAACCAGTGCCAGAGTAGGCACTCAAGTGCCGACTAGATTTCTCCAAAGAACTTGTTTCTCAATCCCAAATGTCATCATACACATGTACACGGTGATGTTACATGGCAGGTACCTAATCTGATGGGTTCTCAAAGGAAAGGTTGTACAGTAATAGGGTGATTTGGATGAGTGTAGGATGTAGTACTGGGGACAGGACGTTTTTATTGCAGCAAAATCAATAAATGGACTCATCCACTAATAACAAATAGATCTCCTTGAAAGCATCATCAATCAACTGTCAGAAATTTGTCTATTAGAAAATCTTGATCTGTGACAGATGTATCTTTTTTTGGTAGTTGTATGTGAAAGGTAAACATTTGTGGGAGGAATCTCGAAGTAAATCCCACAGTTACAATCTTGGTCACTTCTGCATTCACTTTGTATTTCACGGTATCTGGCCTACATAGTAGGTAGAAGTCACCTGGGTAAAGATGGCTGACAACTGTTTACAGATTCTGTACTTTTCTTCTTCATAATGCCTGGTGTGAAACATGTTGAACACATACTTTGTCTAGTCTGGGTTCATTTGGGTTCCAAGGAAAGTACATGTATACAGCATGCCTGTGTGTTGTAACAATAACTTTATGGCTGTAAGTCTGTAACTTGAAAGGACAAAGTGCTGTCACAGTGCCAGTGCCTACCTCTGCTGGAGGGTCTACTAGGGGGTCTGCTTGGTGGCCTACTGGAGGGTCTGCTAGAGGGTCGGGAGACTACCACAACGTCCTCGTCACTGCTGTCGTCACCGGTGGTGGTGTCCATGTCACTCTTACTTCCAACCTGTCACAAAAAGGATGCGCACCAGGTGAGGCACTGCCTTCTCTTATCTATGACAATACAAGCTTTGAGACCATTATGAATACGCTTATACGCTTCTCTCTTAAACACTCACTCACTCACTCACTCACACTCATTCACTCACTCACTCACTCACTCACTCACTCACTCACTCACTCACTCACTCACTCACTCACTCACTCATTCACTATCCATTTTAATGTCAGTTGTTCACCATCTCCCAGTGATTGCATGCTGATGCTGAGTCTTGATGGCAGCCTGTTTAAGCTGTCAATGTCCAGTTCTTTAGCTGAACAAATTGTCACATGTATTACATATAACAAGCTACATATAATACTTCTCATGAATTGCCTACAAACGATTTATCTGTTTGGCATTATAAAGTCATACAGCCAGGGCTACACAACTAGGGCTAGCCCAGGCAATATACACTATACATTATATAGCATCTACGTCTTGTGCTAAATGTTAATGCCTACCTCTTCTCCCATGAGGTTCTGTCTGCCCCAGTGTCCCCGGACAGATGACTGGATCAACATGGCCGCCTCGTCACGGTCCAAACTCTTCCCGCGGGGGCTGTTTGTGAGAAAAATTGTTTACTTGTGATTTCCAAAAGTTTGGTTGCAAAAAGCATCAGAATGCTGCATATATCAATCTCACACACAAGGGAATTGTTACTAAAGCGACTGAATAGAGTTTGAAAACTGTTTCAAGTAGGCATCCTTTCATATCATCTTAAGAGTATTACAATCATAAAATTATGAAAAATACTGAAGTCAAAAGAGTAGAAGGCAAGGATTATTCAGATTTTTTGGATAATTTAAAATTTAAAATGAGAAAACACAGAACTGAACGACAATGTTTGCAGTGGTGTATGCTGAAAAGTGACATTTATATATTACTTCATACAAAAATGTGACAGTCTAATAACATGCTTGATGGTGCTCATGAAATGGAACGTAACTGTTCCACAAAAGATGAATGGATGGAACCTCTTAGTTTGAAAATACCTTGTAGTTGTAAAATACTCTTTGGAGAGTAATGGAATTTTCCTACCTTACAATTCAATTCATGAAACTATTCAGAAGCAAGTAACATAATTCTTTGTGGTCACTAAATTCACTATTATTCAATAATGTGGTAGGTATTATGGTACCAAGCAGAAACACTACTAGTATTATAGTAAAACGTCTAACTTTATTCCAACACACAATTACACAGAGATCAAATATTCAGCGACCACTGTCGAATTCATCAGCATAATTATTGACCAATCACTTCACAAGGTGATCTCAGGAGAGTTATGGTTACAAACACGTTGTCATTGGTCATTAATTATCCTGATGAAGGCGACAGTGGTCGCTGAAAATTTGATCTCTGTGTAATTGTGTGTTGGAATAAAGTTCAACATTTTACTATGATTACTACCAACACAGATGAACTTCCATGATAATTACTAGCATTACTCTTCAACAACTGTGTCATACCTTTTCTCCTTGTCCTGCAGCTGCTCTGAGCGTGCCCAGTGGCCGCGTACGGAGGACTGGACCCTCGTGGCGGCCGTCTCCATGTCACTGCTGGACTCCTCCTCTGTCTCCGACTCCTCCCCCAGCTGCCGCTGCCGCGCGAAGTGTCCACGGGCGCTCGACTGGATCAGCTGGGCGGCCTGGAGTTGTAGGGTGGGGTTGGGCACACGTTAGGGACTGTTTCAAGTAGCATACATTAATATGTTTCTGATTGAAGAGATTTCAAGTGATAAACGTCTTTTTTTCTTTCACTCACCTGATTAAGCTCCTCTTCTTTCTGACGCTACAGAATAGAGAAAAACACCATAATGATTATTACATAATTTGTCTGAATCTCTGAATAAAAAACAAAGTTTGAAGTCAAGGGCTACTCAACATAAGCTACACAAAATGGCATCTATTTGTTCTCCAATGATGTGTTTAGTATTACATGATGCATATTTTGATGTTGCAAAACTATTTCAAACTGTGTTGAAATCCCATCTTACCGATGTTTTGTGCTTTCTCCAATTCTTCTGTATCTTGGCAGCAGCCATGTCCTGTTCCTGCTTCTCCTTTTCTTCTCTCTCCCTTCTCTCCCTCTCTCGTTCCCTCTCCTGGTGTTTTTCCTCCTCCCTCTCGGCCATCAGACGTTTCCTCATCTCTCTCCCCTCCTCCTTCGCTCGATGAGTTCTCCAGTTTTTCTGCAACACCAAAATAAGCAGTCAGCTAAATCATCATCACCCTATCTTGTCCTGCCAGTACTGCAACCATTTGAAGGCTTTGTACATATAGATGATCATAGCCTGAGTGCCAGAATCTTTACAGGGCCTACACAGGCCAGCTCCTTGGCTCCAGGCAAGG